TCATCCAGACATAGGAACAGAACAAATATAATGAAAGATAACGTTATAAGCTTATGAAGGATAGGCCTGTAGGAACAGAAAATGTTTAAGTTTAAGATGTCTTTTGAAGCTATCAAGTGTTCTTATTTGTCTTAGCTGAACATAAATGAGAGTCCTGTGTAGTTTTTGGCTGGACAAAGTTTACTGCTAGAACTGATGCTGAGAAGATCAGCTTGAAACTTGCAAAAAGACTTACCACATTTGATTTCATTTCTCAGGTCTTACAGAAAATGTTAAGAGAAAGTGCAACTTTTTGTCTGAATATCTCGCACAAAATTTGTACTAGAATATTGTTTTTTGGAACAGATAATATTCATTCAGAAGGAATTTGTTTCACATAAAATTCACAAAGTAGAAACTTATTTTTGAAAACGGAAATGGCTTTAAAAGCCGTCCATAAATGCAAAATGTACCAATTTAAAAGATCTTGTAAAGAAAGTCATGGAATGATTGCTTTTTTTTCTTTCTTTCCTTTTATTTTAAAAATCTAATCTATCCATCCCTGTAACACAACATAATTTCTTTTCTTCTACAGAGTAAAAAAATTGTTTCTGTAATTCCGAGAACAAATGGTCTATATATGTCCTCCTTTGGACTCAGCTCATTTTAATGTGTCGTTCGTAATGTTTAGTGGAGGCCCAACACAAGGATCCACTCACCCATGGTTACTCAAAGCCACTTAATACAATGTACACCTTACAGTATGGAGCTGTTTCTAGAGACAATAGGGGGGGGCGGGTTGCAGCTTGCAATATGGCGCAATGGTTCGGGATTTTTAGTGGTAGGCCTAATGCGAACTTGTGCTTCATGCTACAAAAATGGCGACATATCTGAAAATGGGTTGTTTTTTACGTGCTTTTCAAGGCAAAACTATTCTGTGGATTTATCTGAAATGAATATCAGACAAATTTCTTTTGACGTCCAAATGTTGTGTAGAAATTCGAAACGCAAAACTTCAGCGTGAAGGAAAATATTAACAAAAGAAGTTGTAGAGTTGTTTGTTTTTTTGATCACCCTGTATTCTAATACATGGAGAGGACTCGGAGGTGAAATTTGAGCTATATTTAAAGTAGGTATGGAGTATTTTTGCCTGAACTGTTATGCATAGCAAAAAAAATCTACAAAAAGTCTGTAATTTTGGGGTCTTTTAGATTGCATTTCAACACAGCCTAGATATTATGTAACTGTTCTTATCATGCAATGATTAGAAACGTGCTGTTACTATTATTCTTGTCAGATGCTTTTTACTGAATGAGTTGTCAAATCACGCTAGTTTGCTGCCATTATTTCTACTGGTTAATCAATCCATAGATCATTCAAAAGGCATTAGAGGAAGTAGTATTCAGAATTATTTGCAGTCTTATCAGTTTTTGGAATCAGGAAAAGGTTTTCAAGACGTTATATTGATATGCCAGAAGTTTAGATATTTAGATTGGGCCTATACAGTTGAAGTAGAACTATTAAATGGAGACCTTCAATACCATAGCTAGTTAGATAAACAATGATATATTTATTTATTACCTGTATAACCCTGGATGGTGTATAGGATGTTAAGCAAATAGTATTGATAAGATATTGTGCACTTGTTTTAGATTCAAGATTGTCTCATGCTTGATAAGTATGTGGGGGGGGGGGGGGGGGGGGGGCCCCGGGGCTTTACCCCGAAGGGTGAGTGTTTCTTTGTTATCTAAGTATGTCTGTATGTACCAAGTGGAGGAAATGTGACACATCTTTTACATATTTCGTGCTAGATAACTGGCCCTGAGAGACCTTTCAGTTTGACTCTGAAGTGTTTTTGTTTCTTGTTGAGTACGTTTTGGCTCTGATAAGCTGCTTCTGTGCTTTTTGGTGGGTGTGTGGTTGATATTTATTTGTTTTGAACGGGCACTTTATAGTAGGTCCAATTCATGGGTAGTTAGGGCCAGCTTTTCCCTCTGTTGTCCTTTTGTAGTTTTGGGCAAAATGTGGCAATTATAAATAACTCACTGCACATTGCTGTTAACAACTTTCCAATTTCTCCCCCCACCTTTGTATTTTTGTCTCCCATCTGCCATCTTTTTTTTTTCTTTCTGCCAGTTGGTGGTTCGTGTGATATGATATTTGTTAATATATATATATATAGAATGTATTTCCCACGATAAATAAATGGATGTAAAATAAAATTATTGCATTAACAGAAAATAATAAAATTGAAGGAAATAATTGATTTTCATTGCTGACCTTGGCCTTAAAAAAGTCTCTATTTTTCCATCAGGTATGGAGACTTGATCTTGTTATGGTGATACTATTCAAGGCCATCCCACTGGAGTCAACGGATGGTGAACGATTAGAAAAGTCTCCAGAGTGCGTTCACCCAAACCTGTGTGTGAACCCACACCACATCAGTGTGTCTGTGAGGGAGCTAGATCTGTACCTCGCCAACTTTATCCATAGCTATGGTGAGTTTTGCTTGTGGTTCACCATCTTATCTCTGTTCAAGGTGTAATTTATTAATAATACTTCCTTTCAGGTTTGTTTGTGACATCAGCTGGTGACTGACGTCTTTTGTATACATTATTTCTCAAAAAAGAAAAAATGGTGAAATGGTATCGGTTTAACGCCCCCCCTATCAACGCTGTTAGGAGGTTGTTTAAGATTAAGAGACGGGACCTCCCAGTTTAACATCCATCTCCGAAAGGACCGAGCCAAGTGGGAGATTTGTGTAAAGTGCGTTTCCCAAGGACACAACATCGGACTGAGCCAAGGCTCAAACTCCCAAACCTGCAATCTCACTATTACGAGTCCGGTAGCCTAACCACTAGTCTACCGATGACACGAGTCTCAGAATATAGAGAAGGAAACTGTTAGAATGGTCACAACCAGAAGAAACTAAAAGACATGCGTAATCTGCAAGTTATTGCATAGGGGAAGTTAAGTGTGGAATAGAATAGGAGGGAAATAAGATTCAAATTTACAGTGTAAACTAAGCAAAGAAGTTTGAGATGAATAGTTGTTGGTTTTTGTTGTTGTTGTTGTTAAGAATAAGAAGAGGTGATGAACACAAATGTAATTAAGTAGCTGCCTGCGTGCCTTTAGCACGTCAACCTAGAGTTGACAATCATGTATTGCTTCAACTGCCACTACAGTGCCACTAATTCATGACAGCCTTCATAATAATAATAATATTAATAGTAATGATGATAAATTACACTTATTTAGCATATCTCCACCAGAGTGTGCTTAATGGGCTTTACAATAATACAAAAAATGCCAGCACCATACAGTTCTAATAGTGGTCTTTTCTTGTCTTCCTTCCTTCTCCCTCTCTCTCCCTTCCTTCCCACCTCTCTTTAAAAAATTACACACAAACACATATACATACCCATACATACATTGATTACAATACACAGCTACTGATACAGAACCACATGAACGAAAGTATCTATACTAAGAGAAACATTTATTTATTGGCAGTGCAGGTCATTACTGATTAAAGTTGGCCAGAAACAAATGTGTCATGACGCGGTAGAATCGGGCGCTCACGCTCGTAAATTTTTTAACATGTGGAGTTATTGGTATCACTTGTCTTGCTTTTGTTGGAGAAAATACTCATATATCATGAATAGAAGTCGAGATATTTGCAATTGAAGGAGGTCGGGATGGCCTGGTTTAAGAGGTAAAATTTGCGAGAAAATGGCCCCCAAAGTTTGGCGACTTCCACAGCTTGAGAGTCCTTAGAAACTGCAAATTTACATTTTTGTCCCCAAAATCAACAATTTTTAGTGAAATCCAGACAGAAATGTGTTTTTAAATGGACCTTAAAGGTGTTACGTCAAAAAACAAAAAAATTCGATAAAAATTGCCAAACGGACAGAAAAATGCCAATTTCTACGATTTCTTTATTTTTAGGAACCCCTGATTTCCCCACGATGCCTCACAAATGTGTTTCAAGAACAGATTTGAATTTTGATATAGTGGTCGCTTCCTTTATGTTTTGTAGAAATGCATTCTACAGGGAGGGGGTGTGGTGGGGAAAGCTGTCCCTCGAAGTCTCTGCCTTTTATTTTTGGTGGGTTTTAAGTAATTTTTTTGGACAATCTTAAAGGCTGAGGTGGTACTTATTCGATGACCCTGTTGCAAAGACAAGCTGGTGCATTGTTGTTTACATTTGAAAGGGCAGCTATGTTGTACTGAATATACACGCTTTGACTGGAAGCCAGTGAATTTGGATCAATATTGGTGTCACATTTTCCTTGATAGGTTTGTTTAAAATAATGCGAGTGGTTTGATTCTGAAGTGGCTGTAACCTGTTTATTGTTCCAGTGGAAAGGTTTTCAAAAAATAAGGAGTCAACACGATGATACATTTACATTTGTTATATTCTGAGTAGTTTGAAATGAATTACTTTACATAGATGAATCATTTGGTGCATAGATACTTTTCAGTCAGTCAAAATAAATTCCTAGGTTTTTCGCTTCATCTGTAAAAAAGATGTTATCATTCCAAATACAGATATGGCAATAATATCCCTAAACGTGACTTCGATTTTTATCGTCTTAAGCCTTGCTGTCACTTCTCCTTTGGAACATATCTTCTAATTGAAAATATAAGTAAAAATAATGAATTCCACTTGGGTAAAATTGTAGGTAAATGCATGAATAATACACAATTATCACAATATCACAAACATAGACAAACCATGCATTATTGCTGGTCGCCAATGTGCTGTACCCTGTTTCTGAGCTAGGGTTACTTTTTTAAGCATGCTACTTGAATTGAATTCACGATCTTTAAAAAAATTATCCGTTCAAATTGTTCAAGAAATGCTAAGAGGGGCTCGATTGCATTACATACTTAAATGGCACTGGGCGACCCTAACCATAAATTTAATACAATCCAAAAAAGAAAAGAGATGGATAAAATGAGTGCATGAATTTAATGAAAAAAATTCTGGTGTACAGTACCCTCCTAAACCATCATTTCACTGAAATACCCTTGACACTCCTCGTTGACCGTGAGTTGCGACCCGTGTGGAGGGAAACCAGGGACTCCACCTCGCCCTGGGGGCTTTCCGCACTTCTCCTAACAAATCTTTCCTTATCCTATCTGACTCTCTGTCTTGCATCACCTCACTTACAAACGACACACTCTTACACCCAAAAATAGTTAAGTTACAGAAAAATATACACGCTTTGGCTGAAACCGGGAAAAGTATCGTGTTCATATGGCTACCTAGCCATGTGGGCATCCGAGGAAACGAGCAAGTGGACCTCCTTGTCCCTTCTGTTGGGATCAACAACGAACACTCTCCAACAGACTGACTTTAAAAATAAGTCAAAAACTACACCTCCAGTCTGTGGGAGGCTCATTGGAAAAAACAAGAAAATAATAAATTACACAACATCAAGCCCAAACTGGGTCCGGAAAACCTTCGGGCCTCTCCAGAAGAGACGAGGTCATTTTTACTCGATTACGCATTGGACACACGTCCCTGACACACAAGTACCTCCTTCATGGAGAAGAGGAGCCTTTTTGTGTCGGATGCGACACAGATTTGTCGGATGCGACACAGATTTTACCATTAGACACATTTGAACAGAATGTCTAGACTTCGGAAAGACCCGAAGGAAATATTTTAGATGCAAAAAATTGCAAGATCTGTTTTCCGTCGTTGATTCCAACAGAATCCTTGATTTCATAAATGCCATTGGCCTTTATGGAAAATTGTGATTTACATTATTTAAAAAGAATTTATTTACACCAAATTTTTAGCAGTTGCGAGCGCCGTAAAACTCTTACTAAAACAAACATATTGCGAGCCTGAACTCCTCTTACAAGTCATAGTGGGTAATTGGCGGGTGCTCTGGTGTGGTTTGCTTCTTCTTTCCTATCAAACGTCTATCGTCCTTATCTCCCCATCATCTTTTTTATGTTTGTTACTCTTTTGTAACACCTCTAATCTTCTGGCGCTCATATGACCTTATGCAATTGCGAGCGTCGTAAAACCTCTACTAAAACAATAAAACAAAATAACAACTCATAGCCCTGCCCCCTCCCCCCAGTTACATGTTTTGATGAACGGCGAGCACTCACATTATATAAAAGTGAAATTGGATCGCAATTATTTAATTTTGGTGTATTTTATAGCAATACATAGCGATACAAAATTACAATTGTATGATACTTCAACTCAGTATCATGAAAATCCGGCTTTGATCCGTTGTTAGAAATATTGAATGCTATCCATTTTCTTTTTTAATTTTGAGGTCTGAAGAGTATGGTTTCTTTTAAAAAGTAACGCAAAGATCGATCATACCAGAATCTTATCTGTCTGTCTGCCTGCCTGCCTGCCTTCCTGCCTGCCACCTGCCGGTCTGTTTGTGTGTGTGTGTGTGTGTGTGTGTGTGTGTGTGTAATCAGGCACTTGCCAATTTTGGGGCATATGGACTTATTAGTATCATCTTAAAGTTTGTCCATTTGTCTTGCTTTCAATGTCGAAAAGTACCCATCTATCTTTCATAGAAGTCCAGGTTTTTGTCTTAAAAGACGTTGGGGTCACATAGTTTTAGAGGTTTAATAAGAGAGAAAATTATAGTCGTCACAAAGTTTGGTGACATGAAAACTAAATTTACACTTTTTGTGCCTTTTATCTACGTTTTTCCATTAAAAGCCAAACTACAATGTGTTTTTGAATGGACGTGTATATACATGTTCTACAGAAATAAAACGGAGAATTACAATGGCTAAGGCTAGTTTCAATAAAGAGAGCCCAATCCTGAAAAAAAGAAACATCTCAATGACTACCAAAATGAAAGTTCTGAAATGCTATGTGTATGGTCAACCTTTCTCTATGGCTGTGAATACTGGACAATCACTAAAGACAGTGAAAATAAAATAAAAGCAACAGAAATGTGGTTTCATAAGAGACTGCTAAGAGTATCGTGGAAGGAAAAGAAATCAAATGAGGTACTGCTTGATGAAGCCCACGTTGGACGCTCACTGTTGAAAAGGATCAGGAAACGACATATGCAGTTTTTGGGACACCTGAATAGGCACAAGGGTCTTGAACATTTAGCTCTCACTGGCAAAATTGAATTCAAACGAGGCAGGGGTAGGCCCTGAGCAATCTACTTAGGGAACCTAAACAAATGGGTAACATGGAAAGGTCAGGGAAACGTAGCTTTTTAAGAGCATCCGAACAAAGGAACAAGTGGAAAACGTGGAAAACAATGGTCGACATCTGGCACTGGATGGTGATGAATATAAACGGTGTTGAGCCAAAAATAAAAACAATTCGATAACAATTGTGGAACTGGAAGAAAAATTGACATTTTCTTCGATTTCATTATTTTGATGATAGCCTGATTTCTCCATGATGCCTCACACATAATATGTGTGTGTGTCTGCGCATGCATGCGTGTGTCATGATACAGGTGGAATCAGGTGCTTGTAAATTTTGGGCATAAGGAGTTATTATTTTTATCTTAAATCTTGTTCATTAGACTTGCATTTGACGAAGAAAAAAATCCCCTTCTATTTTGAATAGAAGTGGTGATATTTGCGAGTGAAGGAGATGTGAAAGGTAAAATTAGAGAGAAATTGGCTGCCAAGTTTGGTGACTTTCAAAGCTTTAGTGTCCTTGGAAACAGGAAATTCACATTTTTTTGGGCCTTTGATAAACGTTTTTCAGTAAAATTCACACAAATATCTTTTTAAATGGACATAAAAGGTGTTGAGCAACGCAAATATATTTACACTGAATTTTGATATTTTAGCATTTTAAAGCCAAATAGTTAACCAATCGTGCAGTGAACCTTTGCGAAAGTAAACAACTTGTGTTTCGCGCGCTCATATGACTTTAGCAGTTGTGAGCGCTGTAAAACCCTATACTACTATTATTGTTATTTAAAGAAAGAAATTTTTTTAAAAGTAGTCCAACAATCAGGAAAATGCCTCTTTCTTTGATTTCATGATTTTGAAAAGTAACTGATTTCACCACAGTGCCTCACAGTATATATTGTTGCCTCAGAACTATTTTATTCAAAGTGTACTTATAATATAAAGAGGCACTTTGGACCATATAGTTCTGAGGCAACGGTTTATCAAGTAGATTAGAGAGTAGTAGTTTCAGTAGTTTCCATGCATTGCCACACACACACACCCCCAAAATCCCACTTCCTGTCTCCCTCCTCTTTTGGGAGGATAAGGGTTCTGAGGTGTGTTTGTAATTAACAGACGTAGTATAATATATGAGAGTGTATTTTTTTAATTCCTGAGGTGTTTGTCACCCATGAGTGCAAGAAACAATAAGGCTTTGATGTTCATAAGGATCCCATGTCCATGAACCATGTATTTAACTTGATGCTAGCAGCAGACTAGTTGTTTTGTTCCATTGACTTGAAGTCAGTTGAATCTGGGACTATGTCTTCTCCATATTTGTTAGGTCTATGGTTTGGTGATGGTACTGGGCTTTACAAATACATTTTTATTTTTATCTTTTACTATCTGTATTTTGTTTCATAGTAATATCCCTTTTACTCTCAAGTATACTTTTTCATGGTTTATGGGTTTGGTTTGTTTTTCAAAACATAAAAGTTCACTCGTTAAAAAAACCCAACACATTTAATATGTGCTACCCATAAATGCTAGACAAAAAAAAAAGAATTGTTATGGAAATCTGTTTGCCGTCACTTTCAACACATTAGTTATACAAATGACAGACTTCTATTATAATTCAAGAAGCAATTACCCTTACATTGTCACTGGTTCTTTGAACGCTTTTTTCACTGTACATTGTATTTCAAGACTCCCTGTACTATGAGCGGAGTCTCTACATTTTACCGCAAGCTAGGGGGTTTAAAAATGGTTGGGTTTCAACTCCTTAATTTATGCCAACCCAGAGGGATTATATTCTGAAGAAATACTTTGTGGAAAAGGGTAAAAGAAATAACTGAAAGATACTGCCTGTACAAAAGAGCCTACTTCCTCAGAATTGCACGCATAAACTTCTGCCTTCTGGCTTTAAAACTTAAGTATAATTGACAACAAAATGTTTCTGATATTTGACTTTTGATGTAAGTACCATCATTGTGTTGTTGTATTGCACTTTTCAACGGAACTCGTCACAGTCATTTTCAATCTTATTTTTAGTTGGGTTTTTTTTTTTTATATTAAAAAAAAACAACACCCTAGCACAACAGCAGTTCCTCTTTGCATAATGGCATTTTCAATTGATAGTAAATGACTAGTTTTCACGATTGCATCATACTAATAGCAGAATGACTGTGGTGCCCTGAGGTGAAAATAATAATAGAGAACCATGACTTAAGGTCTTCATGTAATATTCTTCCACTGGCATGTTAATTGGATCATGGATGGCTGCTGTAACCTTTAGTTGTATGGCTGATTGTCTTTGTAGCTTTGCACTCATGGCCTTTATCTTTTCGCTCATCTCGGCATGGTGCAGTTAGGGGTGGCCAAGTGCTTCATCTTGAAAAAGACCTGTGGGTGGTTGATGGGTGTTCTGATGTGGTTTGCTGCTTCTTTCCTATCTAATATCTATCATCATTATCTCTTCTCTTTCTTGTTTGTTACTCCCTTGTAATGCCTCTAATCTTCAGCACTTACATTACCCAATTGTGTTGCAAGTGCCATGAAACTGTTACTAAAGCTAAAACTAAATGAAAAAAGACCGTATCTTTTATCTATTTGGATGTAAAGGTCTGACAGAAAGAAACCACGCAACACGTAGTCCTCTTTCTTTCTACTTTTGACATCTTGGTGTTAAAAATCACACCCTGTTTGGTACTTGATGTTGCTGCATTGATAAGGCAGCTCAAATTGTTCAGAAGTTTTCGAAGTTTCTCTGAAGCTAACCTATTTTCTGATGGTAGAAGAGAATCTGTCATATGTTTGACTGGCTTTTGTCATAAATGGGTCTCTTGCAGTGTTTTGTTTTGTCTTGTGTCAGGCTGGATGTATGTTCCACTTTGACCTTCATTGTTCAGACATCTATCATCCAAGAGAAGCGTGGTTAGCCGCAATAGACACTGTTTGGCTTTGCTGTTTTGAAACGTGTTTGAGCTGCACTGCTGAGTGTGGAAGACTAGCACACGATTACGTTGGTTTCGGCTCTCAGGTTCAAGTTTTTTGTGTTGTATGCTCTTTGTGTGCCTGCTGAGCTTCTTTCTGCAAAAGAGATACTGTGTGTTTTGCTTTTTCTGCCATGATCATTCTACTAACTGTCATGTGTGCTGATCCCTAGATTAGCCCCACTTTCACACTGTAGTCTTCTGTTTGCTCTTTGATACTGACATCTGGTTCTGCGGTCTGTTTCTGTTCTCCAGTGCCAGACCTAAGGGGAGATTACATTGACTTGTCCATGAATGGAGACCCAGACATGAAAGGTCAGTGTGCACTTCATCCCTCATTTCTGTCCTTTCGCCTGTTGCTCATAGGTCACACCCCTGTTTCTTGACTTCTTAACGTCACAAAATTCATGTTGTCGTTGATGACATGGATATTTTTCAGAAGAAAGCAGGAGAAGATGAAGAATAGGAAGGAATTGTCAACTGCCTTCACTCATGGTGGAGACCGTGCTTTTTTTCCCGAGGTGTTGTAGACACCACTGCTTTGTGAGAACCAAGGCACACCTCCAAGTTGTTGGATGGTGTGCTTCAGTTGGCATTGTATTCTATTTCTTTGGACTTTTTGCTTGCAATTCTCTTGCCAAGTATATGGGTGGAGGTGTGAAGCGCTTCTTTTGCAACTGTCTTGATAATTATGGTTTCTACTTGCACTGAGAATCTCCTTGTTTGAAAAGGTTTTAAAAGTACCTTGTGTGTTCCTTGTCTCTAATCTGATGAGAAACTGATCCAGATTGCGTCTACTAATTGCCAAGAAGGGGGGATAATGGCGTTTCGTACAATCAATCACATGAAATGTAAAACACGAAAGATGTCAGAAAGTTATCTCCCAAAGAGAAGTTTAGTGGGAAGTGAGTGAGTATTTAGTGGTATAGTATGAATGCAAACCCTTTGCTGTTTGATGAAAGGTGGCAATACTACTCTACTGTTTAGGTTGCTGTTGACTTTAATGCAAAGATATGTCTGAGAAGTTGGGAACTTGCTCCTGTAATATTGTCTTGGTAGGTCTTATCTTTGCTTTCCCTCTGTTGTTTCTTCACTTCCTATTTTTCTTCCCTTTTCACCAACACGGAATGACTGTTAATGTGTCGATGTAGTTATTTTTTATCAGATGCGGTACGTTCTTCATCACTGACTATTTTTGTGGCATATAACATGAATGCGTGCGTGTGTGTGTGTGTGTGTGTGTGCGTGTGTGCGTGTGTGCGCGCGCGCGCATGTTCTTGTTCTTTTGCGTCTGCGGTTCTTCACTTATTTTCGTCTTTGACCGATAAGTGACCGCCCAAGTGTTTGCCGTCAACCAGCAAGTACCGATTCCAGACGGGGAGTAGGTGTTATTTTGCAATTCTGCTCTTTACACTTCTGAATGTCGTGTGTCCGTGATGTGTGTGCATTAGGAGGCGCCCGCCCAGAGGGCTTTTATAGTAATGTTGACACATTTCTCTCCGACGCTGTCTGTAGTCGGCTTGGTATCAAGGGGGGAATCCCATGGCGGGTTGTCCGCAGCCACAATACGGCGGAGTACCCCTGCCCCCCCCCCCTCACCCTTATCCTAAGGGCTGACCTTTTGGTGACCCCCTAGTGGATTTTAACAGTGCCGGAGTCGCCGGCCCACGACTTGTTGTGCTCTGCTAGGTCAGCAATTAGAGATTGACGACGGTTGTCCAGGGTCTGTACAAGGGTTGCGCGCGTTGTGAGTGTGGTCGGGCCAACTACGTGTGTAAGGGAGTGTGGCCCGCTCACCCGCCGGCTCTCCCGTTGATTGGGGATAAGAAAAGTTGCGTGAACGTTAAAATCATGCGTCCATGGTGTAATGATTAGGTTCTTTGGCTTTTCAGATAGAAGGCCTGAGTTCGATTCCAGTATGTGGCCTTCTATTTTATCGTGTATCTCCTTTCTAATGGTGGGATGCTGTATGTCAATCAGTCCCATTCAGTTGGGGTTGAACCTGATTGGCAGGGTCAAAGCTTTGCCATCGTGAACGTGTACATTCGGCTTACATGAGGCTTGGGCTTAGTGTTAACTCAACTAGTATCATGCTGGAATGCTTTATGACGATCTTGTTTTGAACAGCTCCCATCAGGCATAACTGTACTAGTTATGAGTTTTCACTGCCATCTGCCCACTTAGTTCAGGTCGATCGGCAATGAATGTAAGATTGGAGGTGTCTGGCGTCAAAAAGCGGCGTCCTTTGGAGAAATAAAGGTTCGCAAGTGTCAACTAAACGAAACTTGAGGTTCGCAAATGTCAATCAGAGATGATCTCACTGTGCAAATCTCATACCGATGTATACAAAGCGCGTGTGAACCAAAATGAATAATAGTAATTGTAGAAGAAGTTTTACATTAGTTATACCATTTAAGCGGTGACCTTCCCTGTCAGGGTCAACCTGGGCTGAGAGGGATTTTTTTTTTTTTGGTAAGTGTTTTACGGCGCTCGCAACTGTATAAGGTCATATGAGCGCGCGGGACACACCTAATATTTATTAGTTGGTAGGAAATTTTGAATTTTGCCCGGGTGGCGTCCGAAGCCTACTCTTATCGATTTTAGACCACCAAGGGATCTTTAACGTGCGCAACTTGCACACGGGCTCTCCGAGATTTTTCGCCCTTGTCCGAGAAGGCTGGGTGTCGATCTTTCCTACCAGAAGATCAGGGATGTGGCAGAAAGACAGCTGTAAGAAGGAGTCAAGGAGTAGCAGTTGAAAGGCTGCAGAAAGAGTCAGGAGCCCAGAGGAGGGGGCAAAGGAGGTGAGGGGGTGGGGGCAGAAAGAGGAGACGAAAGCAGACGACAGTACATTGCTAGAGAGCAGGAAAGGAGTTGAAAGGAGACAATTTTAGAGAAGAAAATATTTCGGTCGCTACCCGGATTCGAACCCGGGACTTTTTGAATGAGAGGCCAACACCTTAACCTCAAGGCCACGAGAGCCCCCTGAGAGGGATCAATGCCAGACGAAAAGACCATTTTCGATTTGAATATCCCCCCCCCCCCAACCACACACGGGAATCCAGCCCACGTCTTCTTCATGCGACAGTGAAGCGCCTTTCCATTACGCCACGAACGCTGATTAATGATAAACTTGCTTTTATGAAACTGAGTCGTTTACTTGTGGGCAGATTCATGCTTAGTGCCGTAGGATTGCCATCAAACCGTAGCCGTATTTCCGCCATGCCTATTTGCTGGAGTACAGTAGTTCGTATTTCCGTGAATGTTGAGTAAGTGCAGTGTCGTATGCACCCTGTGTAAGAATGGACACACGTGCTAACCTTTCGTGTCGTGAGCCCAAGGACCAGTTTGAGGGGGGGGGGAGAGGATGAGGTGAGCCCAGACCATGGACTATTACCACTAATGCCAGTGTAGACCTAGGAGACATATTACCACCCGAGTAAATGTAAATGTACAGGGAGCCTGTTTTCCGCTCTCACGTCACACTCGGCTCTTGCAAAGGGCTCGTGGGTCAATGGACACTGCTAATCCCCCCCCCCCCCCCACCCCTCCCCCTTTGCGATGCCGTGCTGAGCAGACCTGCTGGTTCTCCTTTTTCTGCTTTGAGGCTCGTCCTTTTCGTTCAAGAGGTCATGTCTGTTGGGATTGGGAAGGGACGGGTGCTTGGTAGGTCTGCGCGCAATATGTGAATTCCACTTTATAGTTGAGAGAATTCTGTTACGTTGTAGTGCATGGTTGTGTTGTATCGAGTACGTGTTTTGAACGTGGTTAAATGCCGGCATGTGTGTCCACACGAACGAAATGTATCGCACTGAATATTGGAGTATCTCTTAACCTTTTTAAAATTGGAACTTTAGAACATTATGATATTCCGTAAGGTCCAGCATATCTCGAACTGAATGCTCTTGTTGTGTGTGTGTATGTGTGTGTGTGTGTGGGGGGGGGGGGTGTTGCACTTCTATCGTTTCATACCTCCCCCCCTTTTTCAAACACTCTCTCTTTTCCCCCCTCCCCCCCCCCTCTCTCTCTCTCTCTCTCTCTCTCTCTCTCTCTCTCTCTCTCTCTCTCTCTCTCTCTCTCTTTTCTCTCTCTCACTGTCCCTCTATCTCTCGTTGGCTCTCTCGTTCTTTCTCTATGTCCCTCCCCTCTTCCTTTCCTCTTACTCTCTTTCGCACACACACACACACACACGCACGCACGCACGCACGCACGCACGCAAGCGCGCGGGGCACGCGTGTACTACAGAGAGAGAGAGAGAGAGAGAGAGAGAGAGAGAGAGAGTCAGCATCATCATGTATTCCCGTTGGGAGATTTGTTTTACAATGACACACGTAACAGTCAGTCATGACAAACTGATACTTTAACACATTACAGATGCTGCGGTGTTATACACTGTTTTTTGAGCTATTGTTGTCTTGTCTCGATCAAGGGACACCCCACCCCTTCCCCTTCCCACCAGTTACCACACATTAAATGCAATATTACCGACATGGCTTGACGGTATTTTCGAGGATGAGCTCATTTACTATTTTGCCATTGGAGAGAGAGAGAGAGAGAGAGAGAGAGAGAGAGAGAGAGAGAGAGAGAGAGAGACTGAGAGAGAGAGAGACCGAGTGAGAGAGAGACAGAGTGAGAGAGTGAGAGACAGAAAGACATAGAGAGAAAGACCACTGTGCCGTTTTTGCCCTATTTTTTGTGCGTCGCGTTCGCGTGGGTGTGTGCGCGCGCGCGCAATTTCGTGTGTGCACGCATATGTGTTTGCGTGAGAGAGAGACTGAGAGACAGAGTGAGAGACAGAAAGACATAGAGAGAAAGACCACTGTGTCGTTTTTGCCCTTTTTTGTGTGTGCATATTTATGAGGACACTGATATCGACGCGCGCGTTCGTGTGTGTGTGTGTGTGTGTGTGTGTGTGTGTGTGTGTGTGTGTGAGTGTGTGTGTGTGTGTGAGTGTGTGTGTGTGTGTGTCGCGCGCGCAAAATTTTGTGTGTGGACGCATATGTGTTTGCGTGAGAGAGAGAGAGAGAGAGAGAGACAGAGAGAGAGAGAGAGAGACAGAGAGAGAGACAGACAGAGAGAAAGACAGAGAGAAAGACAGAGTGTACTTGGTTGCGCCTGCTATTCCGTATATTTTGTTTGTGGATTTGTGTGTAAATTGTATGTGGTGTCTGCTTAGACGTATCTGTATGTGCGGACATTATGAGACTGAGGGTTCATGTGACGTGTATTTCATACGTGAAAAAAAGTTATATTTTTGGGGGGTATTGTTTCGTTTGTTCCCTTTTCAGTGAAATTGTGGTCGACATTTTGCTCAAGATTTCACCGAGTAGCTCATGTGTGAAAATGAACGGACAGAACAGCTGTTGCTCTAGCAGCCCCGAGCGCGTGATGGAGTAGGGGAGGGAGGGGGAGATTGGGGAATGCTAATGGTTCCTTGTCCTACTTGCGTGTTGTCCCTCCGTTATTTCTGTCTTGGGGATGGTTGGAGGGCGCCACTGGGAGGATCCTACTTTTTTTTCTTTGCTTCTGTAGTTTCTGTCGGTATCGCTTGTTGCGCGCACTAAATGGCCACGTGCTTCTTTACTGATATAAATGACGAATGTTTGTGAATTAATTAATAAATAATTAGACCGCAGATGCTTAAGGGGACTCCGCTCTCCTCTGTGAGGACCAGCTTTGTTGTATCTTTCAGTTTGTCTCTGTACATCAGATCCTCTTCTTTTTTCCCCCGTACCTGCGGGTGGCTGGAGGGCACCACTGGTAAATCTTTCTTCGCTTTGTTGTTTCTGTCCTCTTACTTTTTCCTTCCCCCCCCCCCCCGCGGGGCGGTGCCACTGACTGAAGTGTCTTTAGGCCATTCCCAAAGGAGGGACATATCTCGTTCTAATGCACAGTAGAATTGTAAATGGGCTGATCCAACAATGTCCTGCTCACAACTGCCTGAACTACAACAGGGAATTGCTGCTTTTTCTTTCCTAATCCTTACTATCATCATTTTCCTCTACTTTTGTTTGTTTGTCGCACTCTTGTGACCTGCTATTTCCCGGGTGCATTGATAGTCGAAGCAGACTTTGTGCTGTTGAAGCTAGAGAGGTGAGCAGAGTAAGCCTGATTCCCTGTAAGGACTTCTCTGTTGACATCCACCCCTTGGCACTCATATGACCTTATGCAGTTGCGAACGCCGTAAAAACCTCTACTTAAAAAACAACAACTTTTCCCTTGCACTAAATGGCAATTTTTGAATCTATTATCTTCTCTTTACAAACGAACTATCAGATTTTTATGTTTCTTGTTGTGGGTAGCAAGAGCTTGCGTGAACGGATTAAAAAGAAAAGACATTTTTCAGTCTAGTTTCTTTTTTTTCAAGTTTGATATTGTCAGTGGAGGCGATACTTGAAAACGGGATGTCTATTTTTTTTCTCGTGCCCTGATAACTGAGTGGTTGGTTGGCGGGTGCTCTGGTGTGGTTTGCTTCTTCTTTCCTATCAAACATCTATCGTCCTTATCTCCCCTTCTTCTTTTTTATGTTTGTTACTCGCTTGTAACACCCCTAATCTTCTGGTGCTCATATGACCTTATGCAGTTGCGAGCGCCGTATAACCTCTACTAAAACTAAACTGATAACTGCTGAGGCACTGAAGACTGGCAAACATGGCCATCAAATGGAGGCTCTTGGTTCAAATCCTCATGAAGTTCTAATTATCTCTTATCCATTTACGGTTTTTCCCAGTTTCAGGAAGGGAAAACTTAGAATTGTGCCCAGCAAGGCAATATACCTCATCTTTATGCAAGGTGCAAAGCTGGGACAGAAATGATTGTTGTAGCAGTGGTAGTGGTTGAGGAGTGTTGTTTTCATCTATCATCTCTTAGATCTTTCCCCCTTTTCTTTGTATGTTCCTCTCTAGTAGTAACAACTGGAATCTTCGGCAGTTATATGACCCGTTTGTGTTGCAAGTGCTGTAAAGTTCCTTAAACTAAATGATGTACTTAACTTAATCATTTGTCTATCTAGTGTATACACAACATTTCTGTACTGTGACAGATTTCTGACTGTGGTTTACTCCTTTTGTTCGCTTTTTTTATAAAGTAAATGGTTAGGAAAAAAGTGATTCCAGAATCAGCTACAACCATCAATAATTTCTTAAAAACATATGGTATTTTCGTGTCATCAGGTTGATTAGTGCTTTTATGTTGTCTTGATTCCCTCTATTCCTTGTGCAGCGTTACTGTAGTATTGTGTCTATTTCTGTCTTGTACAGTTCAGCTCTAATCAGAGACGGGGGGGGGGGACCAAGAGCATTCATTGTTCTGCTTGATATGGTTGGATTGTGCCACTATTTCCTTACTTATTTGACTTTCATTGTTACATAACTGTGGCTCAAAGATCAAACAGTGTACCCTCTTCTTGAAAATTAAGACAAAAAAAGACTATTTTACATATATGTGTCATGATGCAGTGGAATCAGGCGCTCGTCAATTTTGGGGCGTATGGGGTTATTGGTGTCATCTTAAAGCCAATCCATTTGCCTTAGTTTTGATGCAAAAAAATTGATTTATCTTGGATACAAGTCAAGGTATTGGCGATTGAAGGAGGTGGGAGTTTCCTGGTTTCAGAGGTAGAATTTTTTTTTTAAATGGCAGCCAAAGTTGAGTTATTTCTTTGCTTGAGAGTCTGTGGAAACTGAAAATTTACATCTTTCATGCCTTTAATCAATGTTTTTCAGTAAAATCCACACAGAAATTTTATGTATTCTTTAACAGGCATTAAAGGTGTTGAGCTAAAAAACAAAAATTAAATAAAAAATTTTCAAACCTGCGGAAAAATGCCTGTTTCTTGACTTTCATTATTTTGACGAGCGCCTGATTTCACCCTGCTGCCTCACATATGCAGTATTTCATTCTTTCATATTTGTTTTGAGAGGAATTCAGGTAAAATTGTAGTTACTTGACTTTTTTTCTTACTTTATTTCTTCAGTTCCAGGGAATATCCACTCTGGTGTGTCCGGCAATGACAGTATTATGGCCACTGGTGTGTTCTCTGCTTCAGAACTGCTGAGAGTGACAAGACGTAAGTTATTATTGTGAGCGCTTCTTTCATTGCAGGTGGTTGGTGGGTGCTCTTTTAGGCTTTGTGCAAGAGGCTCTGGTTTGGTCTTCACTTTGGATTTCTTTGTTACCATCACCCCATACATGGAGCAGTTGCGAGAGCCGTAAAACCTTACTAAAACTAAAAAGATACATGGAGCAGGTGGTTTTTCTTTTTGTTTTTTCTGCATATCTTGCTTTTTCCCTGCACCATATGACCGTTATTATGTCCATGTGTTTCTCTTCACTAAAATTCAGAGCTCAAACCATTCACTGATATGTTCCTAAGGTTATGTGAATATTGTTGTACTCATATAGTGTAAAGTGAATCTCAACAACTTCAGCTACAATGATTAAAACAACTTCGATAGGTACAGGGTGGCTAAAACCAAGAGGACCCACTTAAAACAGGGCTTCCTAAATCTACAAATTTTTCCAGTAGTTACAGATTTTTTACTTGTTCTACTGCCATACCGATAAAGGTTTCAAAACTCTCGGGCTTGGGATGGGTGCCAATAGTACAAGGGACGTCCAGAAAGTAAATAACGTTTTCACATATCTCTGAACTGGGTTAAGATATTCCCAATTTTGCAACACAGTGAGTTAATACTGAACCGGAAAGAGCCCTCAGCTTCCTTCTTGCCGTTGTAAACAACAATCTACAATGCTTGTAAAACATCTCGCCCAGTTTTTTCCCTGCCAGTTTACACAGCCACATTTTGTATCAACATCCTACACCCATTTAAAGCTTCAACATGTCTTCCAAGATTGAAAATTATACTAACAGTGAAATTCAGTCTGTTCAGTCTGTTATTGTTATTTGTTTTCTGACTGCAAAGAGCACGAAGCCTAGCGATATTTAATGCAGTGGGTGAATGTTGAAAGAGGGACGAGAAAATGTGCAATATGAACCCAGGAGTGGGCATCCATCTTTGATTAGTTATGATTTGATAAACAAAGTTGACATTAAGGTATGGTAAAGGAAGACAGGCGTTTTACCCTTTCCTCACTCTCTTCAAACTTTCCTGAGATTTCAAAGTCGCTTCTACATGAAATTGTCACTGACCATTTGGGTTATCGAAAGGTGTGCTCACGCTGGGTACCCAAGCAGCTGACACAAGCGCACAAGGATCAACCGGCTTCCAGCGCATTGACATTCCTGACATGTTACAATGACGAAGGAGATGACTTTCTTACTCATATTGTGATGGAGGATGAAACCTGGTTGCATCACTCCACGCTTAAAAGTGACCAAATGGTCTACACCTAGAGATTTAAATAGTGAACACCTTCCTTGAGTTGATTTAACAATATCAATTTTGCATTAATTTGTTGTCAATGCTCAAATAGTGTCTATTTGAAATAGAATGGTTGATTTTTAAGAAGTTACGAAGTTTTCCGTTTCAGTCAATTTTGGCTGAAATGTTTTGAACAAATGGATTTTTTTTTTTCGTATTGACAAATGTAACGTCCCCATGGTTGAATTTTATTTGTGTGAAGTTTTAATAAAATTGGTTTTAAGATAACCGAGTTATTGCCATTTAAAGGAGTCCTCTTTTTTTTTAGACAGCTGGTAGATGAGCATGTTTTTCCTTATCCTGACTAGGGTCAAAGTCTTAAATGTTATTAACTTTACCACAGATTTCTTTAAAACAGTGCTTAAAATTTTATCAAGCTTATGTAACAACTTATGAGATAGCTGAAAAGCTAAAATAGATTTTGGCTCTTTTTTTTTTTTTCCCATCCAATTTGAAGTTTCAGAGGAGGGGAATTGTTGGGAGGAAATTTAGGTCCTGTCAAAAATGTTAAAGTTATTGATGTAGCCCTGCGAACAACAAATTGCCCCATTTTCTTGCTCTTTATTGTGTTGAGAGTTGGAGGAAGCTGGTATTCCTTTCTTTCTCCGTAGTCTCTACTGTTTCGGTCTATTAGTCCTATTTTTTCCTAGCACTAAATAATAACACCCCCCCCCTCCCCCAGTGGCGCTGCCACTGGCTGAAGTGTCTTTAGGCTATTCCCAAAGGGGGGACATTTCTCGTTAATGCACAGTAGAATTGTAAATGGGCTGATTCATCAATGTCACGCTCATAACTGTGCCTGATCTACAACAGGGAACTGCTGCTTTTTCTTTCGTAATCCTTACTATTGTCATTTTTCCTCTACTTCTTTTGTACGTTTGTCACTCTCTTGTGACCCGCTATTTCCGGGGTGCCTTGATAGTCGAAGCAGACTTTGTGTTGTTGAGGCTAGAGAGGTGAGCAGAGTAAGCCTGATTCCCTATAAGGACTTCTCTGTTGACATCCACCCCTTGACGCTCATATGACCTTATGCAGTTGCGAGCGCTGTAAAACTTCTCCTTAAACAAACATTATAATTTTTAAAAATTTTGTCGATGCGATTCTCTTTCCTTGGCGTTATAACCATGAAATGGTCTTTATTTCTTAGAATGTGATGTCATTTCTAAATTTACTAATAATTCAAGCCCGTACCTTGTACTATTCATGTGTCACTATGACTCTGCCATTATGTCAGACTGGAGTATATGTGTAGGATGTGTTCTTTGTCTGATGTGCCAATCGATGGGTGTCACTAGTAGGTCCAACTCCTTTTCCTTCCGTCAGTTGTTTCTGTCTGTCCGTCCGTCCGTCCGTCCGTCCGTCCGTCTGTCTTACCTTTTTCTAGCACAAAATGACCGTTATTGTGTTGATGTACTTCTCTTTACTCAAACTCAAATCAACAAATTCTCTTGACTTGAACTCAAACCCAAATCTGTTGCATTTTCAGCCTCCATCATGATGACCCCCAATGGGACCCACCCTCTGTTGCCTCACAGCAGAATGGACTCCCCCAGCTACTACAACTACAGCCCTCAGGACCCGCACGGGCCCCCAACAATGGTGCCTATGCACACTGTGGCCATGACTAATGGGCAGCCATCGGCTCTCAGCCCTGCAGGTGACTACCACAACGAACCCACCATAGCTTGCATAAAAAATTATATGTATCGTAATTATTTTTCTCCTCCACGACAATTTAGATTGTTCAGAAGGCCCTGCATATCAAATTCAACCCGAGCTGAGTGGGATACAGCATCCCAGCAGAGAGATGGGTGTATTAGACAGATAACCTCTGCACCCGGGAATTAAACACGTCTGTGGCTAGTGCTCAAATGCGGTTTACTCCTTCTTTCTTATTGAACATTTATCTTCATTATCTCTCCTTCTTTTTTTGTCTTTGTTACTCTCTTGTAACACCTCTGATTTTGAGCACTTTTAGATCTAATTGTGCTTCAAGTTCTGTAAAACTCTTACTAAAAACAAACAAAACATGTGCCTTCTCTGTGCTACAGCTGAGAGCCTTACCATTACACCACAAATGCTATTACATCGTGTATACTGGGGGCAAAGATGTTACAGTCATAAGACAGGCTTTTTCAGCTGTGGAGGTGTGGTTGAATGTGAACATGGGTCAGTAGGGGGATATTTATGGCTACTCTTTTATGCAGTTTGCACAATAATTAAAGAGTTGTCTCTGATTACAGGGCTAAGTCCCCGTATGGAACAAATTCCTATACTCCATTTATTTTGAAATACCAAAAAGACTATGAAAGAGGAAATAAGACTAGAAAAAAATAATGAGTCCTTTTATGTAAAAAGAAAATAGGATCTGAGAAACTCTTACCGAGTCTTTTTATATTTGTTTCAACATTATTACCAAGGATGATGAAGTTTATATGGTTCTTTCCTGTATCATTACACATACAGGCAGAGGAGACCACATTTGAAGTTTTTGGTTCTTCTAAGTCAGTGGGGGCAAAAGTCATAGTTTTGTTGCTGTGGAGAAAGGATCATAATCAATACGTCAATAGGGATAGCAACAAGCTGAAGGTCTGTGCTTGCAAGTGTTCATTAGAAATCATGATCATTGGATGATTGCTTGTTTTTTTCCCTGGCAAAGTGATTGGGTTTCATTGTACAGTGGATTTCCTTTATTTTCAAAATATTTTGCACAATTGGTTACCACATGCTACTTTTTTTCCTTTTGTTGTTTCTGTCTACATGTACTTTCCTACTCTTTCTCCTGCACTAAATGATCATTGGTGTGTCATGTGTTCTCTTTACTCAAACTTACAAACAACATATATGTATTTGCTGTTGCAGGTAACCCACCAAAGAAACTAAAGCGCAACCACATGAATTCCATGTCCTCTGTTGATGATGACGTGGAAAGTGTTGAGAGTGAAGAGAATCTCAGCGGCTACTACACCAAAGCCCCTGGGGGAGGGCTGGCCCCACACTCCTGGCAAGGGGAGCACATGGAACCAGGTGAGAGGACTTTCAGTTTTGGTACTTTTGTCAAATATGCCATCACTTATTATATTGTCCTTCTTTTCCTAGGTTTACCGTTGATTTTGTTGCTTTTATCACACTGGGTTTTAGCTACATGTACTTCTTTGATGCTGTAAGTAAATATTTAAGACTTTCCACAGTACAAGTTCTTTACTTTTTGTATGTTTTCCCATGGTTCTTGAGAAAAACATGATCGGAAGTCAAAGCTATCTTGCATCCAGGAAAATCCCTTTGTAGTATTTGTTGAATTATGTGTCAAACGTCAGCTTTTGATAGATTAAAAAAAAAAACTTATTATCTTTCCAAATGTAGGTGTCGTCACTGTTACAAGGGTATTAAGGCCAATAAGACTAAGAAAATGCTGGTTATTTTGAGTGCTAGTGAATGGTCGATGTTCTGCACTCAGTTGAATTATCTTGTGACTCTTCAAGTGCTTCATATATGTGATGCATCGTGGTGAAATGAGGCGCTCATCCAAATAATGAAATTGAAGAAACTGGCATTTTTCTGCCAGTATTGCAATTTTTATGGATTTTTTTGGTCATTTGGCTGAATACCTTTCATGTCCATTTAAAAACACATTTCTTTTTAGATTTTACTGAAAAACTATGAAGGCACAAAAAATGTTGGAAGTCTTCCAACTTTGGCAGCCATTTTCTCGCTTATTTTACCCCTGAAATAAGGCTTCTTCTTCAATCACAAATATCTCTATTTCTATTCAAGATGGATGGGTCGTTGTTTAATCGAAATAAAACAAACGAACAAGCAATAACTCGACATGGCCAAAACTGAGGAACACCTGATTCCACCACGTTGTAACACAAATGCTTTTGCTGCTACGTTCTTCTCCATTATGTTTCTGACTGGCCTGGACTTTACTTCTTTATTTGTTGAGACTTTTTGCCATTTTTTACCCTTCCATTCTCGAGTTCTACATAAAGGAGGTTTTTATCCGATTTACCATCTTGTGTGTGGCAACGATGTCTGTGTTGCATGAGCAATGTAAATTCGGTTGGAACTCCTAAATCTTTCCTGTAAATCTCTGTTGGTAATCTTGTTACAGTCCTATTCCAAGAATCATTCCAAGGCATGTTGAAGACTTTTACTTCGAGATGGCAATTTTTGATATTGCTTTCTTTAATGTGTAGTTGAATAAGCTCAGCTTGAGATCATGACATTTTTTTGTAGCAGGTTTTGACACTCACAAAGCATTTTATCTGCACACTTCCAGGCATGAGTCATGGTCCATCCATGCACTCCCCTCATATGATGTTGCCAGTCAAACCAAAGCAAGAGCCAGGTTTTGCCCCCGTGTCACCGTCAGGGAGCATGGGTGGTCAACATTCTCGCTCCCTTGCTCCCACCCCGCCGAGACCCATGAGCACTCACACCCCAGGCATGATGTCAGCTGGACCCTCACATTCTCAGCAGCACACGCCACCGGCACCGGGTAATGACAGTGTCAGGGACAAACACCTACGTGATCAGTACATCAACTCTAACACAATTTCCTGTCTGTCTGCTGTCTGTCTCTCTGTCTCTCTGTCTCTGTCTGTCTGTCTGTCTGTCTGTCTGTCTGTCTGTCTGTCTGTCTGTCTGTCTCTCTCTCTCTCTCTCTCTCTCTCTCTCTCTGTGTGTGTGTGTGTGTGTTCTACCACCATACAAATAAATTTGCCAAAACTTACTGAATTTGCGATGGGCGCGCTGACAGTTCGTTTTTAGGGGTTACATATCAGTTCCCTATTGGTGTACTATCATTAGACATGTTTTGATATAGTCTTAATTGGTACAGGCTATGGGTTTTGAAGTCAGCTTGGTGGTTACCCTTCACTCAAATCCACATTTAGTACTGATTGATAGATGCCTTTAAACAACAGTTCATTGTTATTTTGTTTTTAAATCACATTTCGTTTCATCAACACTTATGCACACACACACAATCACAACACACGCAGCACACACACACACATACATACATGCATGTGCGTTTACACCTATTTTAAAATATAATTACATAATATCACTAAAAGCAAGCCCCGCTTGATAGTATGTACATGTACTTGGGTAATGTTCACCTTTTTTTTTTTTACCCTTTTTTTCTTCACCTGACTTTTTGCCAAAATACCTGAAATTTACCCTGAATCTGTCTGAAATTAGAACTTTTAAGTAGGCAGCCCTGGGGCAAGGTGGTGTTGCTGTCTCAAAATGAGCAATTTGTAGACAATTTTACTCTAAATTATTTTTTGTAATGATCCCAAAAGGCAGTGTTTTGGTATAGGGCTGAAATAATGGACCTTGTTATTCCCGGATCAAGATTTTGTTTTAAAATTTTGTTTGTTTGCTGGCCTCAGGACGTTCTATGCAAAGTTATATCCACATTGGTAAATTAATAAATGAGCTAGCATTTTTTTAAACACGAACATACTTAAGTGAATATGCAGTAACACACAAAATACGAACGAACTTACAGTCTTATGCCATCTTTAGCCAGGTGCCCCCCCCCCACCAAGGTGAAGTTAGGAAAGTTCATGTAAAATGACTTGGTCAAGGTCCCAACCAGAGAGTTTACAGTAATACTAGAGAGATGGCACTTCGCCCGGATGCGCGTATCTGGGTCACCAACTGATCGTGGAGAAACGCACGGTAAACAAAACAAACTGCGTCCTTTGTTCAAGGCATTTTCGTTGATCACAGACAAGCATGGCCCCGGTTATCACGAAATCACTGGTGTTCTGCTATAAACTGCACCTATGAAAATAAAAATCTGAGTTCCTTTCAGTTTCCAAAGGATGACGAATATATTTTCATGAATAGAAAAATATAGATCAAAATAATGACATGTGATTGTGGTCCTAACAGACTCACACTCCAAGCACAAACTCGACACACTTCAACTTTTTTATATCAGCTATAAATTTGGTTTTTTTCCCCTGTCTAAATGCTCAAACTGAGCTTGCATTCTACTAGTGAAAAATATGTTACCTGGGTCTGTGAAAAGTTGTCTGAATACAAAGTGCCATCGATTGGTTTTGGTACTTTCTATGTCTGATTATCACTTTTTTGGGGGAGGGGGGATGGGATGGGGGATAGAAGGTGTTACAGATCGTTTTAAACTCTTTATCATTATTGCTTCATGTGCTTTTCCGTAATCTGAAATAGTGAGAATTTAATATAATGTGTGAGTGTGTGTGTGTGTGAGAGAGAGACAGACAGACAGAAACAAAGAAACAGACGGAGAAACAGATTGACAGACAGACATATAGACAGAGAGAGAGAGATAGAGAGAGAGGGGAGAAAGAGAGACGTACAGAGAAAGGGAGACAGAGAGAGAGAAAGAGAGAGAGAGAGAGAGACAGACAAACAGACAGTCAGACAGACAAATAGACAAAGGGAGAGAAGGGGGAGAAGAAGAGATAGGGAAAGAGAAAGAGAGACAGACAGACCAAACAGACAGACAGACAAACAGAGACATAGACAGAGCGAGAAGGGGTGAAAAAAGAGAAAGAGAGAGAGAGGCAGACAGACAGACAGAAACAGAGAAAGAGATTGACAGACAGACATATAGACAGAGCGAGAGAGGGGAGAAAGAGAGACAGAGAAAGAGGGAGAGAGAGACAGACAGACAGACAGAAACAAAGAAAGAGACGGAAAAACAGATTGACAGACATATAGACAGAGAGAGAGAGGGGAGAGAAAGAGAGATGTACAGAGAAAGGGAGACAGAGAGAGAGAGAGAGAAAGAGAGACAGACAGACAGACTGTCAGACAGACAAATAGACAGAGCGAGAGAAGGGGAAGAAGAAAGAGACAGGGAAAGAGAAAGAGAGACAGACAGACAGACAAAGCAGACAGACAGACAAACATAGACAGAGACAGAGCGAGAGGGGGTGAAAAAAGAGAAATAGAGAAAGAAAGAAAGAAAGAGAGAGAGAGACAGACAGACAGACAGACAGACAAACAGAAACAGAGAAAGAGACAGACAGACAGAGTGGGGAGAAAGAGAGACGTGGAGAGAGAAAAAGAGACAGGGAGAGAAAAAAAAGACAGACAGACAGACCGACCGACAGAGAGGGAGAGAGAGATGAAAGAGGGACACTGGAGCACGAGTAGATTTACTGAAAATTAAACCCGATTATTCCTTTAATTACGGGGATATTGGTTGTTTTTTTTCCAGATCTATAGAGACGAAGTAATGTATCTGTGTCTATTTGTTTATTAGAATGTATGTTAAGCCAAAAACAACTCTGAAGCCTACAGTTTATGGCCAAGGGAGGCAGGCGGTTTCCTAAAATATGTGATAGAATTTACAGGCCTCCTTCTTTGTTAAAGGTAACTTAGTGAGCTAACTAAAGTACTACATTTTCTCGTGACATGACAGCATCCCTGAGCATCGCCATAGCAGCGATCACCGCGCGTAAGTGTTTTCGCGCCGGGCGATACGCGAAACAATGCACTGTTGTTATGGAGTGTCACCTCTCTATTACTGTAAACCCTCTCTGGTCCCAACGCTGGGCCTTTTATGGTGCACAAAACCCATGATTATGATTCTGACAGCCTAAGACCCCTACACAACCGATGACTTCAACTTGATTCTTATAGCATCAATGATTTTTTACTTTTGATCGCTAAGTTTTGCTGTCTAGTGGTATTACTGTCAATCTTCATCTTGTTCTTGAGAACTAAATATGTCTCTGAGGGTGGTGAGCAGATGGTCTGGTGTTATCTGCTCCTTCTTTCCTGTCAAACATAGTACACTCTCATGTAATATTTCTAATCTTTGGCACTTGTATTACCTACTTGTGTTGCAAGTGCCTTTGAACTCTCATTTAAACGAAACTAAAATTAAATGTGTTTCTGTTAAATTAAAATCAACAAAAGGACAAAACAACATGAATTGTAAGTACTCGCATTGAGTTTTGTGTAAGTGCTGGGGGCTTTTTGTTGTTATAATCATTCCTGGTTTTTTTAAGTTCTTGTTACCTTCAAAGTGGTATGTTGCCCAATACTCAGGAAGCAAAGATGAATCAGCAGCCAGAAAATTTGTGTTAAGATCTCCGAAGTAAAGGATTGTAATATCTTCTGCTTTGTAAGCTGATGACATAGTGCAGTGTGTTTGTATCCCTCCCTGTCCAGGTATGAACCAAGCTATGGTGATGGCTCAACAGGGCTTGAAATACGAGACTCAACAGAACAATGACACCTTCTCGGACTTTGTCACACTGGTTTGCCAAGAGGCTCAGAATTCTCAGAACCATGTAAGATTTTTATGCCTTAATTTTGGAGGTTTCAACTATTATTTAGGAATTATACTATGTTTTGCAATTTTGTATTTCCATTATTGGCTGAAGATTTTATTACACTTGTCGGCTGCAAGAATATTGTTAAAAGAATGTACATTTTTAGACTGGCTTTGTACTCGTATTATCATTGTAAATACAAAACAAAGGTTCAAAATTTGATTATTTATGCTCATTGTACCTTTTATTGAGGCTTAATCGGAAGCAGATTTATTTAACTCGTGTTTCTTTTCTAGTCAGGACAGCACTCTCCACCAATCCGCAGCCCGACGCGCCTGCCTCAGTTTTTCTCCCCGGGCATGCTGCCCCCACCACCACCTCCCCCGCCGAACCTGGCTCGTCCAGTTGCCATTTTACAGACGTCTGATGGGCATGCCATTCTGAGCAGTCAGGTGGCTACTTCTGCTGCAGGTGAGGGGAAACTGGTAGAGGGTTGAGGTTAGACTTTGTCAGTAGCTCATGGGATCTTTTTATATAAAAAACTGGAAGATCATTTTTATCAAAGATGGATTTCTCAGCTCTTAATGTATGTTCGTATGGACATACATTAGTAAAGGAATGAAAACTGCTCTTTTGTTTCCTAATAACAAAGAGTGAATTTTGTAACACATTGGGGTCCTTTCAGTGGCATCATGTCCACAAGGTTTTCTTTGGTTTTGTATGAGCTTACCAAATACAAGTAGATGTCAAAAGCAGATTCCACTCTGTAGGGTTTAACTCTTCTTGTCTGTGGAGGATTTTCGTTCTGACTGAAGCCTCCCAGGGACTGATCCTATACAGCAGTAGGGTGGGTTACAGAAGTCTATATAAACTTTCAATCTACTAGGCCCACATTAAAACTTTTGGTATGTTTGTGTTCAGAAATGAAAGTTGCATTTATTGGTGTTCATTTTAGATACCTTTATTGAAGAATAAAAATAGACTATTGAAGTAAATGGCCATTAGCACAAAGAAAAGTTGCAATATTACATAACACTGTTCACACAAATATGGGTGTAACTGTATAAAACTTTAACACAGAGCCAAAGTAAAAGAAGCAAAAATGTTGAAAAACATTCTAGGATTACATCTATGGTGGCTGTAGCTACTATGAAGCCCATCCTTTTGAAATACACCAAAATAAAAAAATGTATCAGAACCCACATCCGGCATGAAAAGTGTAAATACAGCTAGATCTAGATCTAGATTTCTATATATAGGCCTACACACTTTGTTTTACAATAAATCAAAGGCTTACATTTATAGTTTTGTTTGAACATACCTAAATATGAAAACTGTGTCTTTATGCACAATTTCAAAGTAATTTTTAGTAATTCTTTGAAGTTTCCAGGTGTAAGATGAGGTGTACAATAACCATATATATATAAAAGTCACATTCACATAGAATAGGCCTACATATTACGATGAACTAACCTGAATAGAGCCTCAACAAGATCCGATATCTAGATTTAGATCTAGATTTATAATATCCAAATGGAATGAAAATTTGTCTCTGTATAATCCAACAAGAAAACTGTCACTGTAATTATTTCAGGAGCAATCTTCAGCCACGGTAATCTCCCTAACCAACACAAACAAATTAGACACAGAAAATCAGCTGTTTGGAAACGAACCATCAAATCTAGCTTACGCGCGCCGGCACAAACGCTACAAAATGAAAGTACAAACAGAAAAAGACATATTTTTGGCATTTGCGACCATAATTTCAGTTGATGTCGTGAAATATTACTTTCGTGTGTATTTAATGAAGACTAGTGTAGCAAGCCGTTGTGAGCGGCTCGCCGGCCAAACCCACTTCACGTCGAGCCGCTCCCACCGGCTCACCGGACATGAAAAGTTAAGGAGTCTTTCTGGTAGGTCAGATGAGAGATGGAAAGATCGGCACACAAGAGATGGACCCCAAAAGCTGGTGTGGAGAAAAGATTTTGCCCTTCTGCAAGAGGTTGCTTTTGAGCATGCAAGTAGCATCAATTCTCAGTTGTTGATAAATTGTCTCAATAAACCAAGAGTTGTAGGGTTGGAGTATGGATGGAACGCCCTCTTCACTAAAATATGTCAATTCATTGGACCACTGCAAGCGTCGTAGACTAATGATTTTGTAAAAATCGGAATTGTTATGCTTACATTTTATGGATGGTTAGGGAGAATTGTGGAGCTATCTGTTCCTTTTCATGAGTGCTATTATTGTCCTAAAATATGTTTGTGGCCAAGTGAAACCATAGTTGTGACGACTTACAAAGCACGACTATGTGACTACCTCGAATGTAAAAAAAACCCTCCCATTATGCACATCAATAAGGAATGAATCTGTATGTAAAATATAAATAATGCTGCTTATTTATTAAGTACAGGGTGTTTTTTTAAAAAAGGACCCACTTAAAGGGTAATAACTCGGTCATCTCTGCACTAATTTAAAAAAAAATTAGAACAAATAAAATTCTACCATGAGGATGTCAAGCTTGTGAACATGAAGAAAATCAATGTATTCGAGAAAGATCAAGTTTTAAGAATTTCAACCAAAATTGGGTAAAATGCAACATTTTACTTTTTATAAACCTTCAGCTACAGGGGCGTAATCAGCCTGTTATTGTTTCAGGACAAGGACAGTAAAACCCCAACAGTGACCTAAGACAGATATCTTAACGTACAGAGAAAGTTTTGTAGAAGTTTGGGGAGAATGTGTTATGTTGTACAGGCCTGGGTCTTGTGGAATGGGACCACAACCCTCACATCAACCCTGATATGGTTGCAAGAAAGTTTGGGGAATGCCATATAAGCTGAAAATTTACAAATGAATGGTTGTCACATTTCCCCCAACTTGGGCCCCTTCAATTATATTACCTTTGGGGTTTTTTGACAGGGAGAGAGTGTATGGAAACAACCCACAAATAATTGAACAGTTGAAACTCAATGTTGAACAGGACGTCCAAAGAATTGACCCAGAATCATGTCACAGGGTTTAAAAAAAATTCCAGTAGCATATTGAAGCTTGTATGGAAAGAATTGGTCTACATTTGGAGATTTAAATGGCGAACACCTTCCTTTAGTTTATTTAACAATATCAGTTTTGTTTAACTTGTTCTTCAGTGCAGAAATACAATTGAACCTGGGTAAAACGGCCACCCATTGTGGAGGAGAAAAGTGGCCGTATAACACAGGTGGCCGTATTAGGCAGGACGGACCAAAATGAAGAAAGCAAACCATTCCCATTTTTTTTTTTTCGTATTGACAGATGTAAGGTCCCCAAATAGTTGAATTTTATTTCGGCAAAGTTTTATTGAAAATGGTTCACAGTTAACGAGGGTTATTCAATATCGGATGTTATGATTCAAAAGTACAAATATACAGGAATGTATGTAAATAACTGCAAATTTTCACTATTTTCCAGTTCTATGTTCATTTATGGTTATTTTGATGTATCATTTTACTAGGTTCAAACATATTTTTTGAGTTTCACTAAAGATTATTAATTTTTTATTTTGAAATTTTATCCGCATCAAATCAAAATTGTGTTGCATAATCGCCTCTTACAGGAACCAAAGTTGAAAAATACACAAATAAATGTTACAGATGTATTTGCAAAATCATACTGAAAATTTTGATATAATATGTTGATATTTTTATTTGAATTTGTGGCCCCCAAAGACCTTTGAACTGCGCACTAGTCACCATCTCATTCCGCTCTCCCGAAAAAAATTTGTCCACAAGCCGAAAATAATGCGTAACGAATGAGTTAAGTGGGTCCTCTTTTTTTTTTGCTTAGACTTGACACCTGATAACTTGCTGCCAGTCTTGACCCAGATCAGTGTACTCGTCTGAAAAAAGTTAACTTCTCGGTATCCTTTAATGTCAGAATACTGAAAATTAGCGTATTTCAGCAGGAGATGTTGATCTTTACAGGGCAGAAAAAATAGAGACTCACTGTTATTTTGTTCTTGTTTTACAGATGTTTTAAAAAATGACAATTTTATCGTGCTGTTTTTTTTTTTACTTCCTATTCAAGCACAATATTTTTGCTGTTTTTCATGAGTGCAGCTATGTCAGTCATGCACAAAAAATGTAACAAAACAAAAAACAACTGAATAAGTAAGTGTATTATTGCCAGGGGTACAGATAGTAAATTATGAGTGATGTCATATTGTGCAGATGCACTGGTCATAGGCATGTCTCTTGCAATTTCAATTCGGATTTTTATGTTACTTGATGGGGTCCCTGAAGCTGATCTAGAGGAAATTTTACATAGACAAAAAATTTTTATGACTAGATTTATTACTATTTTGGGCCAGGAACCCGGCGGGTGTTTGAATTCACTGTTGAGAAAGCCACCACCTGATTAAACCATTGTCACTAGATCTGCTGTTTCAACGAGTGATCTACTTCATCTTCTCATTTCAAACATCCGATGAGAGCCACTAGCGTTATTGCACTTCGTTATTGGTATCAGAATTCATTTGATCAAATGGATTCATTAATCTGAAAAATGTTATGAGCTGTTTCAATTTACTTCGGCTTCAGCATCACGCAGGCTACATGCTGTCGATCTCCAATCAGCATACACTCAAACAAAACCCAAAATAGCACAAAAGGAATTCCTGCTTAGAAAATTGTCAGGATTTCAAGGGAAATCATTCTAATGAAGTGAATCTGCTCTGAGTGATCAAAGGCATGTTACTCTAGTAATTGTGCTAAGAGAGGAAAATTTGCTGTCATTGCATTGAGCAGTGGGCTCAACCGACTGACTCAAGTGCTGTCATGACGGTGAGTGAGTTAAATTCATTCCAGTTGTAAGAGTTTATTTACTTGGGTTAAACTATTTTTCCGGTCATGATTTCTTTCTCTCACCAATAAAACTACAAACTGAAAAAAAAAAATCCATAAAAAAAAACAACTAAGGACAATTGTCCAGACTTTGCCTAACAATGTTCATCATGAAACTGAAATTTGATGCTCTGTTTTCTAGCCGGAGACTATAATTATAGGAAGACTATGAAGTGTGTCAAGATTTACTGCAGTGCAGGATTTACCTCAGCATCTGTTCCTTTTGTCTCATTCGTGTTTTTTGTCGGGTTTGATTAAGAGGATGTGTAAATTATGAAGAGTTCCCCGAAGCTTTTTCGTATGGGTGGTGGGAAGGTGCAAGTGGTTGGGCCTACTTCTTTTCTTTCCCTTGGTTCTTTCTGTCTGTCTTACTTTTCCCCCTGCATTAAATGACCATTGTTGTGTCGATGTGCACCTTTTTACAGACAGACAAACAAAGCTTTATTGTGCCAAAATACTTGTCAATTGAGGTGTGTTCTCATGTGCTTTGTATGTGTATGTCCCCAGGGAGCAGCAATGGTTTGGCTCAGGGCAGTGTGTCCAGCTCCCCAAGCACACCCCCTGTGAGTCGTACAGTCATGTCTAGTCCCTTTACCCTGCTGTCTCGATCTGAGCATGCCTTCACTCACATACACCCTCAGGTGAGCTTGCCTGGCAACTGCATGTGTCCACTACTGGAAACAGAAGCTCCTTGATCTTGTGACTGTTTTGGGCTAGGTCTTTTACAGAACTGAATGCATTATTGTTAAACTGGGCTCTTTTGGTCAGGAAAACTAGAGTGAAGCAGACAATTTGTCTGTTGTTAAAATTTAATTCACTTTCATAATTGGCTGCAATAAGTTACTTTAAGGGAACTCTTGGTTTCACTGAGAATATCTTAAACCTTTATCCCAAGTTATGGTGTTTAAAGAATGTGCACTTACTATTGTTCAGCCACAGGGAATATTGTTTGAATTTTGATCAGAACATGATAATATTTTATTAGAAAGAACTTGTTTTATGGCCCTTTGCAAAAGCAAACGGGGTAGAAGTTTGGAAAGACTCCGGAAACCTTTTGGGGAAATCATCTTATGCTCTCCATGCTCACTGAAAAGTCAGATAATAGCAGCATTGTGTGTTGAAGTGTAATGACCATTCCTACACACAAACTTTAAAAACAAACCAAGAGGTCGATTTTTTTAAATGTTGAAATTAGATGTCTAAATAAAACTGACTGTCATTGTAGAGGTGTTTTCATAGTGATCAGATATTTTACAGAGTATATATGTTTTTATCTTTAGACTTTTTCTGTCTCGATAACGATTGCTTCTTGCACTTGTAATTAGGGATGTGGAGGGATGAGAGTAAATGGATTTGAACTTGTATTGAAATTTCTAGTTCTCAAGCTTCCATTTTTGTACGAGCAGGGCTGTAACTAGCGTAATGATTCCCAGTAGTGGACTTGTGATGATGGTAATATTGCTTGCAATTTGTATTAAAGAAGAAAAAAAGTGGAAATTTAGTCCCTGTATTTTTTATTTTCAAAATTTAACTTATGAACTAGTCACTCCTGGTAATATTTTACTTAAATCTGCACAAGTACCATCATCACTCTTTGCCTTTGTGTGTACCTTTGTTTGCGAACATTGACCCTGACCTGTCACCCTTTTGTTTTGGTTAAAAGAAAAAAATGAGGTTTTCCTCATAATTATGATATTTACGAATGCATTGTCAGTGTATGCTTTGTTTTACTTTTTTTTAAATTGGCTTGCTGATTATAACCATCCACAATTAATTAAAATTATGGTGGTTGCTTTCTTGTGTACATTGAAATTTGATATTGATATCCCCTCTATGTTTTATCTCAATGTTTTTTCTTTAGCATGCCAGACATGACATTTTCTGCCTTTTTGCCATATATATGGCGTTGGATTTGCAGTCTTATCTTTTAGTGTTTTCCATGTTCTGTTCCTGATTGTCTGTTTATGCAAAGTGAATTGCTTTCAACCTAAACCTGTTGGACTGTGCTGTTTCTTGATCTAGCTCTTCTTATTGTCAAGTTGTCAGCTTCATGAAGCATGTCTTTTTTCTAAAATGGAGACTTCACTCTAAAGCTTGTAAAATCATTGTATCTCTTCACAATTATGTTTTGCCAAACATATTTTCACTTACTGTCAGTGTTTTTAAAGAATATTTTTCTTTTTCTTTTTCTTTTTTTAATGACAAAATTAATGCTTACTACAGTGGAGTCCACTTATAACGAGTCCTGAAACAATGAGAAGTCTTATAAAGACACTATTCTAAAACCCCGTTTTTTCTCCTTCTTTATCTTTGTAAATAAAATACTGCTATTGCGCAATCAAACCGCCATGCAAGTTGGTTTTAACGGAATATTGCTGCTGCTGTGCACAGCGCACAGACCAGTTAAACATATTGTAAAACCTTGCTAGTTGAGAAAGTTGTTGGTGATCCAAGGAAACAAAGAATGGGAGAGCCCACGCGAACCAACAATGAAGGCCGGGGCGAATGAGTGGGGAGGGTGTGGCATGCGCAGACAAGCAGAATGCATCGCGTGATAAGCCTGCCCAGTCTAGATTATCTAGGCATACCATGCCTCTCACTACTCTGGTGCGGGATGGAGAGGTCACAATGCTGTGATAGATGGAGTGAATGTGTGACGTGCGCAAGCAGACGCAACGCACCACAGGGTGTGGTGAGGTGGGGGACAACACAACGGACGAGTTACCCTAGAGCCAGAGCCCCTTCTTTCTGATCGCCAACGCCGAGCTGTCAACATTGCTAGTGCTAGAAAAAGAAACCTAATTCGATTTTTGATCAAGTAAGACCTAGAGATCATGTTGAACAAATCATCATCAGGGGAAATAGAAAAAGGAATAAACAGAATGCCAAACTCATAGATTAGGCCTACTTTACTATTTCCCTTGAATTTATTACTGGATCCCTTATAACGAGAATCCTGCTATAACTGACCTTTCGCACCAGTCCCCTCCCTCTCGTTATAACAGGATTCCACTGTATTTTTTAAAAAATTTTTTTCCAATGCTTCCTACCATTTCTTATGAAGTTCTTATGAAGTCTCAGATTGCTCGATTCTTCAAATGTGACGGAGTTGCTTTGTGACCTTGTCACTTAATGTTTCCTTCTCAAAAGTTATTGTGCTTGAAGCTATACTTTACAAAGGGTTGTAATATTCACCCATGGAACTTTGGTAATCTGTGAAGGCGGGAGAACATTATGCAAGTTTTGAGTTGCAAAAGTAATTTGATCAGTTGTTCTTATCCATTTTTCGTTGTTTTTAGAAGTGTTTGGGGTTTATAATATTGTAGGTGAGTTTGAAGATGAAAATGTGACTCCAGTTCTTTTTGGAGTTGACAGTATTTTTACACCTTGCGTTTTAAAGCTATTTCTTTAATTGGTTTTTAAGATTTATCGTGTTGATGTGTCTAGTTGAGTGTGCTGTTGTTAATCCACTTTTTATTTTGAAGCTGCAATTATCAAAGCCCTTGTGTTTCACTGTGTACCCCAGGGTGTTAAACTCTATGTTAACATCATGATGAACATGTGTGATATGACAGTAACAGTGCGCCAGGCCCAAGAAGTCCGTTGCAGTCGCTCTCCTGGCTGGGTGACCAGATGGGGTATTTTGTACTGCTGGCTGTGTGACTGCAAAGTGTTAAGCTAAAAAAAAGTAAAAAAGTGCTGGTTTCTTTTCATGGATTCTTGAACAGCAGTCATAACTGTCTACACAATCTGGGGCAATTTCTGTGTCCAGAAACTCTTGCCAGAGGCTTCATGTTGGTTGGAGTCAAATACTAGTTTTTTTTGTATCTTTAACTTCAGTCCTGTTAACTGCCTGCACAAACTGCTGACTGCAGAAGAATTGCTTTTTGAAAATATGACATTGCCTAATGCAAGTGTAGCCCTTTGGAAAAGTTAAGACGTCACCTTTTTAAAAGATTCTTTGCTTACTGATTTGTCTCAGAAGTGATTGATGGGCGTTCTGGTGCGATCAATACGATCTATGCTTTTTCATTTATCTTAGTGTCCAGAAGATTGTTTTGCTGGCTTGCCATAGACTCTCAATGACAGCGGCTTTTTCCTCTTTTTGATGTCAGTGGTTTTTATTCTTAACAATGACAGCTAGATACTTTTTGGTCTGGGCATTTTTGTCCTTTATTTTGGGGGAAAAAATAAGCACGCTTACCAGTCCTGTGACAAGTAAATATTCTGTCTTTGTGTCCTATCTAAAACTCTTTCCACATCTTCCCTTTTAGAATTTGGGAATCCACTGCTGGTTTTTGGCTATTATAAAAGTCGTGTTGAACACCACAATGAAATATGCCATCACAGAACAAATGATTGAAGTTTATGCCTTCATGTGGCATTTGGAAGTCTTTGCCTACCACCAAATCTTCACTCGTACTTTGTATTCCCTGTCAGGTCTTTACCTACTCAAGTATCAGTCCAGTTAATGCCATTAGTGGTGTGATCAGCCCTACCACCCTGAGTCTGATTGCGTCGCCCATAGCAACGCCACGAACGACCCCTCGGTCTACTCCAATTAATTTCAACTCACGTTGGGGGAACCTGTCGATGGATGAGAACATGGACTACTCTATGCTGGCCAACATCATGCCCACTGTCAACACTGATGAGGCTCTGTTGGGGGAAGGTGAGCTTCAATAAAAAATTTGTTCAATGTGGAAGAAAAGTTTTGTGTTCTCGTCTCCTCTCCTCTAAAATGTTTCATCTCTTCTGCAGGTCATGCTTTGAATCAGAAAGCATATCTTAAGTTTCAAAGACTAACGTGCCTTGTATGTTTAACACTTGGTAAACTTCTGCTTGATATATGCTCAGATGAGTTTGTGTCTACTTGAGCAGTCTGACTGACGTTTATCATCATGTCTAAGCAATTTTTACTTCAAATACTCATGCATAAATTCCATTAAATGCCAGTTTATAGATAGATTATGTGGGCGTGGCTGATGGAGAGAGAAAGCAACAAGGAAGTTTTGCCAGGCTTTATTCAGAAAATTATTTAGCTGGGTATGATGAATTGTTAACACTGCGGAACTTGTCTGAGCTGAGGCAAGAAAGACTCGTGGTAATCCATATTAAAGGACATGCTCATGTAAGGCGCTGGAAAGCTGTTGTTAAAAGCGCAATCAGTTCCAGCAGTGTCCCTGTAACCTTTACTAAATGGCTTGTATTTTGCACTGAGTAACGTGTCTTTGGGTTGGGTTTTTTTTTAGTCTCTTTGGTGGGGGCAATAGGGAACCCTGCTACATGCACCAGTCACATTTCTAGCCAAACAGCATTTGCAGCAGTTTTTCTCAGAGCATACTTACAGGCCTGTTCTTGTTCCTGTTCAGTCATTTTTAGAAGTGACTTCGCAATGCGTACTGGGAGTGTAGACTGTGAAGATAATCCATTCTTCTGTCAATGTAAAGTAAAAAACAACAAATGCTTTTATCCTTCCTCATGGATGGCAAAAGCATAACTCATAAAAGCATATTTATGATCATTAGTTTACATGACATAATACACAATATCACATGAATAAAGACAATCAACACACTATCGCTGTTCTTCTTTGTGCAGAGTTCAGATTCTGAATATTATTTCACTTACATGTGTTTGACAATATTGCGAGCCTGAGCTCACTAACTACAAGATCACTGGAGTATATTTCACGTCTGGCTTAGTCTGACGGCACCAAAACAGTATTCATATCCATGTTTCCTTGTCCCTGCTTTCCTCTATCTTTTTTAAACTATCATCACTACCCTTCCTGTCTCTGGTTACTCAATTTTAAGCTTTCTTCATGTTTTGTGTCCAAAGGGAAAAATATATCTTATTATGACCTAGAACATTTTTTTAGGTGTTTTGCCACGGGAGATGGAGTCCAAGGGCTAGTGGATGATCAACTGACTATAGAGCATTATTTTAATAAAAGATGATTAAAGAAAGGAAAGTTGTTTGTTCTTTAAGATGCAAGTTTAGAAATTAATGATTTCATGAAAGGAAAACACTGAGAGCCAAATCACTGTATGTTGTTTTATTTGTCGTCCCATTGAATCATGGGTAGATTCATTGATCTCATGATCTAGGTATCATCTGTTTTTCTTAAACGAGTATCTGTCATTACATATTGCGATGGGGTTTACCCTTAAATGGAAGGCAGCCAGTCATCTGTGAGGATGACTGCTTCTGACAATTTGCCAAAGCTTTTACTTATCAGAATTGTTCATTCGTTTAACCAGGTCAAATAGTTATTTTGCCTCTAAACGAAGTCTGGTCTGTAATGTCTTTTTGGTACATTCAATTTTCTTTGTAATTCTTTTTTTTTTACAGACCGATATTTCTCAGCCGTTCATTCCAGTGAAAGCTTGGATTCCTCTAACGGTGCCTCCTCCTCTCAAGCCCCACCTACTCAGCAGCAGCAGCAACAACAACAGTCTCAACAACAACAACAACAGCAGCAGCAACAACAACAACCTCAAGCAACACAACACCAGGCTCAACAACAACAGGGAGGTGCTGGTCTGTCCCAACAGCCCCCGACTCCCCAGCAGCCCATGACGCCAGCGGGCACTGACACCTCGCCCAAGGCTCAGGTCTAGGCTGTACTACAGTCTCTGTATTCTGTTTTGCCAACTCAAGACTGACCATGGAGGTACAGTATGTCAGCAGAATAATTAACAAGATGCTTGAAGCTGTACACGTATCGCACTTTGGGAAAGTAAATTTTGAAAAGGTTCCGGAGGAAGCAAAGGTTGTATTTTAAAAATGTTTTCTTTTACCACTAGCTCGACTTGAAGTTGACAATGCTTATTGAATAGTTGGCCATGTATAAGCTGCAATGATTTTTTGGGGGCTGTGTTTTGAAGGAAAATGATTGAAGACAGGGCTGTTGAGCTTACTCGCTGCACATAACATTTATTGCTGTGTAAATAAAAGGGAAAGGTAACAGTGTGTGAAGAAGAAAGTGCTACCTGTTGCTCTGTTTACTTGATGGGCTGTGTTTTTAGTTAACCGAAGCAAGCTGTGACTTCAATGGAACTACCTCTTGCTGTGAGCCAGAGGCTACATGCTCTAGCTCGTGTTTCTTGCCGACTATGATGATGTCCTCTATGAAATAAGCCTGTTGATGTGATGACTTATTTAACCACTGATATTCGTGATATACCTGCCAGCAGGAAATGGCTGTGATGATGGGTTGTTGTTGTGAAGAGCTATTGTGTGCACTTGACCTTGTCCATAAGTTGACTACATCCAAACCATGCTGCATATGTGGCACGGACAAAAGCAACTTGTTTTAAGTATGGAAAACTTTTGTGTGTTGGGGTGGATTAGTACAACTGCCTTTGGATTTGGATAATATGGCTGACTATAGTGGGAATGGCTTTGATCTTTCTTGCTATGTTCCCTGGACTGTCACTTTTGTCTTTGAACTAAATTGTGCACCATAACATTTGGTGCAGATTTTCCCACCAAGGGTTATCCATGAAACAGTGTACTACATGAGCAGTTTGCCACAAATTTTTTTAAGAACGTTTAGTTTGTGGATGTAGTTAATCATCACAAGTTAGTGGACGTGCTCCTTTAAAAAATCCAGCGCTTCCCAAGTGGGCTGTGGCTATGGAGGTGGAGGAAATGGTTGATATTGACTGTACGGTGACACGGAATTACATGTCTTTCAGGCTGATTATTGGTTTGTTGATTATTTGGTTTTATTCCGGGATTTTCTTTTTTTTTCTTTTTTTTTTTTTTTCTCTTATGTTAAAACTAAACTGATGATTATTATCCACACAGTCCTGGTAATGTACAGTTTGATATTTATAATTTGTATAATTATAATCACTACCGCTGCTAACTCCTTTAATCAATCAATAACACTGGTTGACATAAATATGCAAGCTTTAGCACTGTGGGGTGATGATATTTATTTTGATTTACTTTCTTGCATTTGTATTATGCATACCGTAATGTACCCATTTGGTTTTATGCACGAATAAGTTGTCTGCTTTTAAAATATGAGAACGTACTGGCTGTTTTTTTTTTTTTCAGAGGAGAGTTAATCGCTGACTGGATTGAAAATGAATCATCTTCCTCTGTATTGTTATACACTTTTCATTCTCATATACTTTACATAACTTTCAGTATTTGGTGAACATGTTAATCACAACCGGTTACTTCTCAGCACTCGTCCCCTCTCGTTACCCAGTTATTTATTTCAACCACAGGATGGGTGTCTTCATCAGAGTGATACGACTAGTGAATGGTGTGTTTTCTGCTCTGTTAGGTAGCAGTGTTCTGACTGATGTACCAGAAAATTTCACGTAACCTTCATGGCTATAAAGAGCAGTGCTTAATGTTCCATACTGATATCTTTTATAAAAGAGACTTCAGATCTACATTTCTACGTATCATTTTTACTTGGGAACGGTTGTTTTTTTAAAAAGAAGTCTTTACAATGTAATGATGATTCATAAAGCGTTCTGTTTGAGCACTCAAAAAAGTTTTATGTTCTTGTTTAATAGCAGTATTTTGTTTAAAATTTTGTTGTACATTTTGCCTTTAGGTAGAATGAATTTGTAAACTGATCTCACAGTGTGAGGCATTGACGTGGGAAGAACTTTAAAATTTAAATTATGCATATGTTGGTCTATTTTAGGCTTTGGTTAATGCATTTTAGGTTATTGTAGAAAACATCCTGTCTTTCAAAAAATAAAAATGAAACAAGCGTTGGCAAAGGTCATATTAAATGAGGTGCTTGAACTTGTGTTGTCTTGGAATGTGGCTTGTTGGTGAGGCTTAAACGTTTTGTAATTGTTTAATTTAGCCTCATGTAGAAAAATATGTGTATCATCTTGGTGAAATCGGTACTCATTAAAATAATGAAATGAAAGAATGAGGGATTTTTTTTCACGCCCGTTCGGCAATATTTATTAATTTTATATTTTTGAACCACCTTTTATGTCCATATAAAACACATTTCTGGATAGATTTTTACTGAATAAACATAGATCAAAGTTTTTGAAAATGTAAATTTGCTGTTAACAAGGACACTCAAGCTTTGGGAATCACCTCACTTTGGTAGCCATTTTCTGACTATCTTTACCTGACACCTGGTTTCCAAGCTGCTACCTTTTTGGCCTAAGTCAGACTTGGGCCAAAATGCAACTGATGAACCACTGGACTCCTTGACATCTGCTTAACATACTGATGTATAATTAAAAATATACTCCAAACCATTTCAAAGAAAATTAAAAAAATGTATTTGGCCTAAGTCAAAAGTGACATTGATTTTTGCGTGTTATTTGGTCTAAGTTTGACTTAGGCCAATTCGTCTCTCATTCATTTTTGTTTTGCCTAAGTCAGACTTAGGCCAAAACATGGGAAAGTTTATTACCTTCAGTCTCAGATCTAAATGTCCATTTCAATCAAATTCTTTTTAAAATGGCCTAAGTCATTCAGAATTGAAAAAAGCACCAAAAAAATTATGGCTCAGGTCATTTTGCAAAATGGCCTAAATCAGAGACAACAGTCACGAAATGGCTCAAGTCATTTTGCACAACGGCCTTAAGTCAGAGGCCACAGTCATGAAATGGTCTATGTTAGTCATGGGCTATCAAAGTGCATTTTTCACTTACTGAGACGGTTTTTTTCAATTATGTTGGAAGTGTAAAAAATGACTTAGGCCAAAAAGGTAGCAGCTCGGGGTGGTGACCCCCACCTCACTCATAGCAAATATCTCGTCCTCTATTCAAAATAGAAAGGTGGTATTTTTTTCATCAAAAGCAAGACAAATGAAAAAAACTTAAATATGATATAAATAATTCCGTACGCTCAAAGATTAATAAGTGCCCGATTCCACCATGTCGTGACACATGTCGTCATCCTTCAAAGTAAAATATTTCCAGTCACCAATTTTTACAAGTCCTCTGTTTCTTCTGTACTAGATGTTTTTTGACTAGATGTAAAAATTCCACCCAAAATTGGAGAGAGAGCAAAGGACAAAGAAGAAATTGTAATTGCTTAGAGACAGCTTTGAATTTGTTTTCTTTCCCTCACTGTTTGTTGTTGGTACAGCATTCTCGTTTTAAGGCATGCAGACCAACTCTTTTGTGTTCCATTCCTTTCCGTTTGTCCTCACCAATTTGCCATGTTCTCGTCACTCTTCCCCCCCGTTTCCTTCCTTCATATCAATGGTCTGCAATGGTATTAACTCAGATTATATATTATATTATACAATATTGTGTATGGAGTTTCTCCTTGTTTTGTGTCCTCTCATGTTGTGAAAGGAATGCAAATTGGCGTGCAGCCTTGCGCTGCACAGCTAACCAGGCTGTGATATCAATCCCCCTTTTTTGTACATTTTGATTTCATTTTTTGGATGCAAAAGCAACAAAAGCAAGATAAATCATGCCTTATTTGATGGGTTTGGGATTTGTCTTCATTCTCTTGGAGATACATATTCACTGCTGTTTTGCACTCAGTGATGCAAAACTCTGTGGAGGAATCGTGTTTATTTTTTCTTGGTGTTCTGTCTCTAACGTTGGTGTGCTTTTCATTCACCTTGGCTTTAGCTCTTCTTGCTTGGATGTCAAAGAGTTTTTGTTTTTACCTTGTAGTGATGGAGAAAGCTTGTGAAAATACTCACCAGTGCTGAGGTATTAATTGTTGACTGAGGTTGGATTCTAACAGCTCTGGCTTGTTGATGATCAGGGCTGCCAGTGAAATGCCAGATGGCATTGAAATTATATTGGGTTGGGTTTTTTTTCAAACTGAAAAGTTTTATAACAGTGTGGTGTCTTTAGAATATATAAAAGAATAGATAGATTTGGTTGTCTCTTTCTGGATTTAAATATCATGAAGACAGCAAAAGCTCCTCATATTATCCATTAAAGTATTTAATATGCTCAAGAATCAATTTTCAGTAGCTGCTTTTATCACAAATATAGTGCCGGTATCATCATTGAATATGACATTTTTTTTAGGATGTCATTTACTCTTTGTTGGAAAAGTCTGCATGCAAGTGAGAGGTAAACAATAGCTTCTGATCTGCTTTGAGTGAGACAAGAAAATGTCACTTTCAGGATGTCCTTATTGAAAAAAGAGCAGAGATAAAAATACACTAAATAACGAGAATCAAACACATTGGTCTATTCAATTTTAAGGTTTAGTGCTGTCACATTAAATAATCATTGGCCACAGAAATATGAATGCCTGGTAGCCACAATTAACTTTTGCCTTTGGCATTACTCTGAGTATGTTTATGTCTGCCTCAGGTGTCTCCAGTCATTTGATGTCTGGCTTCAACAAAGCTGCATTGATTATGAGTGTATTATCAGTGAATGTTTGTGAAAAGTTTGTCAAATTTTTCTTCTTAATGTCTTCCATCTCCACTGCACCATATTGTTTCCTTGTGGTACAGATTTTATCGAATAGACATCAGTTTACTGTTAGAAGTTCTCATATTTTTGTTGTTGGTTGGACAGTTATCTTGTCATAGTGATGGTGCATGAAAACACATTGGTCAATATGATCCACTATTGCCAAATGCTGTGATCTGACTTTCCAAATCTTTTCCCAGTTTAAAAAAAAAATTAAAATTAATGTGTGGATTTACGAGTAAGGTTTGTTTCTGAATGATTAAGAGTTGTTGATGCAGAATTTTGATATAGAGGGTATAACAAGGAGCATTTTGTAAAGTTTTGTTAGCATGGACATGTGATTGATCCTGAAAGAATAGTCATTTTTATCTCAACGGTATTAAAATTGTGGGTGAAGGACTGCAAACTTGTATGAAGAATTCAAGTCCTTCCTTCTTATTTTTGTTTTGTCTTTAAGTTGTGAAGGAACAATTTCATTGCAAGTCCTTGTTCTTGTTTTGTTTTTTCATGGACATAATGATTAACTACCTCCTCGAATTCCTTTCATTTTTGACTTCCAGCGAGTGCTGACAGTGTATCTTAGTGTCTGGTATTGTTGTTTGTTTTTGTTTCTGAGATTTCATGTATGCATGGTGGCATTTAGTGGTCAGCTTTGAAGGAATGAAGACAAACTTTGTCGTACCGTGGCAGATTTATTTGCAGAGGCCAAAAATCTGAATAGTCAAATTTACCTTTTTGATGTCCAAAACAAGGTGGCGTATGTTTGGACATAGCTCTCTTTGGGGCACCTTTGACTATGAGTTTGTATTTTCTATCTTCAGATTTGTGAATTTGTAAAGTTTTGAGACAGTCTCCTGTGATGAAGTTGGACAGAGTCTTAATGAGACCTTCCACATGATCCAGTCTATCTCAGCGGTAATCTTTAAAGTATTTGTGGTGCATAAATAGTACCTGGAGGTAGTCACCCTTTTTTTAAGGCTTATTAATGTACACATACTTTCTTTAGAACTGTGGTTAGTGTTTTTCTCGGGGGAGATTCATATGGGTACATGATCAAGATGGTGCTATTAGAATGTAAACAAGCGAGTGTGTGATCAGTGTTTTTCTGCTCAGTACTGGAGGGTTTAAAACAATAAGAAAGACTTACAACTTTGAACAGAGCACTCCTGTAAAATATGATGGCTCTCAAGGGCTTATCACTTTGTCCCCAAAGGACTCTGATCAGCAACAGTAAGAAGTGGTCTCTTTTCCCCACAGGATGCCGATTGGCGACAGTGATATAGCAACAAAAACGTAGGAAGATTTCCTTTTAGACATATGCACTTGTTAAAGTTATAACTTTCTGAATGATTTAGTGGCTTTTGAGCACAAAAGTCAGTTTGTATACAATTGAAATATCTTTAAAAATGTCAAGTAGACCTAGCATGAGTGCTGCTTTACATTGACACCATGACCATGATTCAGATGATGAATGTGCTAGATCTAATGGTTTTAGTTCTGATTCTAATTCCAGTTTTTGGTGAATATGCGATCATCGTGTACAAGTTTTCCCAATGTACTGAAAATTTCATAATGATTGGGGTATTTTTGCCGAGATACAGGTGATGTACCCCATCTGAATCCTGGTACCTGGGGACAAAGGTTTTGCGCTCTGCGTGCTGGGTTGGTGGAAAGTGTTAAGTACCGTACTGAATTAAATGGATCATGTGGGGGTTGTCTCAAAGTTTTCACTTCACTCATCTCATTATTGTGATGGAAAGATCATGTGCAAATGCTAAGAATGTGTTTCACCCCACTGTAATTGGAAATTATTTCGTTGCTTCCCTGTCTTATTGGGAAATATTTTTTCAAATGTTCAAAACTCCCTTGCCCATTTTTTACCTCTGGTTCCCCGTTTGCAGTGAATACTAAAGTTGTGTGTGCTTGAGAACTGACTACTGGAAGCTCTGTGACTTTGCATAGCTATTCTACTAAGGCAATTGTTTATGCCAAATTTAAAAAAAAAAAGAAGAAAAGGGACAAAAGCTTACAGAAGAATTGAGTGGGCCGGGAGTGTACTTTTGATGTTTGACTTTATGCCTTTTAATGGTTGCATAGCTGTTCTTTTGTTGGAGGCAACTGATCAAATCAAATCCGTTTACTTATGCAACAAAGTTTGGCCTTATTTGTGTTGTTACTCATGCTATATTGATGAGATTAGAGAATTTTGTTGTCATATCTCTCTCATCTGCTTTTTCCCCCTGCCCTTTGCATGCCAGTGCATGCGCCTCTTTACTCCTTGACTGTACATAACTTAGTGATTCTAACTTTTAGTCAATTATTATAATTCAAGGATTTTTTATCACCCCATGAGTTAGTGGGATCTCATGCCAATGTGTCGCACCCATGCAGCAGAACATTCTTCTGTTTCCCCACCTCATTCATTTTGTTTCCAAGTATTTGAAGTTTGTATTTGTGCCTTCAGCTTCTTTCAGGTAGTGTCGTTGGATGCAGGCGAACTATGCACCGATTACTTTCATTTGCAAGGAAGGATTACTTTTTTGTGGGGGGGGGAGGAGACTGGAGCCTTTTTTCTACAGTGGAAAGTTTTTCATTTTTGCGATTCATACTGCTGTTGAATTTAATGTAAAATGTGATTTTGGTTCTCAACATTAGTGTACTTTTAGCTTTTGTAGGAGCTCCAGTTCGATTTTTACGTCCTTAGAAACTGCCTTATTGTCTTGTCATTAGACAAAACCAAAAAGAGGACAACAAAAATGCTTTATTTTGAAGTGGTCTTTGTAATGTGACTAAACGTCTTAAACTTACCTCTCAGTGAGATTGTAACTGTCACAAATGTGATTCCACTGGAAGTGTACTGGATCAGTGGGAAGCTGAGCCCAGTGGACATGTACTGGTGTATGCGTTGGTGCTGCTGTGCAGTGTCTTCTGTTTTTCTCATTCTAGGTTCTTCTGTATCAAGTGTCCAGCTTTTGTAGAGTGAGAACTTGAGCCAGTTTCTGTGACTGTTGGTATGATCTGCCAATACCAGGCTTGAAACCATGCTAGAGATACAACTGAATCTACCACTGCATGTGTGGGGTGAGGACATGGCATTGATGAGGAAATTCTCCATTTTTTTTTAAATCTTGAAGTTGTTTAGAATTATGAAGCAGTGTCTTTGGTAGAGTTGGTCTTGAACTGTGATGTCCTTGTGGCGCCTGTGCAGATCTTGTCACTTATCTCCTTGGTTTGATCTCTGGCTCTGGCCTTGGTTGTTAAGAATTTTCTTTGATTCTGATGGACAAATGATAGTGTCCCAGAGAAGTTTGTTCTCAGCCCTACGGTGTGCAGATCTTCCTAGTTTTGAATGTGGTGTGCGGGGTACATCTTCTTGCTCTTTGCCCTCAATCACTTTAACACTGCTTAGGTAGTGGTTTGAACAAGAGGGTTGCAAGGGTGGGAAGATTTGTATAGGGGTGGTCCCAGGTGAACTGTGTCTTCTGACAGCTCTTGTTCCGTCAGCACTAGCTCTATAGGCATTGTGTAGCATTTGGCCAGTGGCACCCTCTAGCTTCCTGGAATCTCTTTGCTCTCCTTTCCTTTTGGACTTTGCAGCATGCATGACTTTGTCAAACTATTGGAAAGGAAATATTGAGATTCACATTTGTGAAATACTCAGTACGTTGGTCAAATTGGCATCAAACCCCCCCATCCCACAAATGTCTTACTTATACCTGATTAATTCAGCTCTTTGCCTATTGAGACAGATATGCCGTTTGATGTGGGTGTATGTGTGTGTTCGGTTAACTACACACATCGCTTGGCCTTGATGTACAAACAATAACATTCTCAAACTTTTTTGTCAATGTGAAATTTCTTGTCATATCTGTTGGAAAACAAACATCCCTTCCTGTGGACTTGAATTACGTTATGCTTTGGACATGTTACTTTCTCTTTTTATCTCTTCCAGTTTTTGGCTATTTATTTGTAAATTAATTCTATAACTCATGCTCGTTGCAACATTGATGATCAATCATGCAATGCACACCGTTTTTGTGTGTATTTTTGAAACCTTTGAATCCTGTGTACAAAAGCCAATGCATTGTTTGCCTTGTATATACTTGACTATTGCACTCATGAACTTGAATGAGGTTTTTTGTTTTTGTTTGTTTTTGTTTTTTTAAATTTGTCTGTTGTATGCAGAGTTGATGCATTTTAATGAGAGTGTGCAGATATGGTTATCTGCATGTGTGCTTCAAACTGCTGAGTGTACTGTTGAGCTGTGACATGGGATGCTGTGCTGTTCTCTTGTGCTTTACCATCTCCTTCACGAGTTTGCTGAGCTTATTTATTGTAAATGTGTAGCAGAAATCCACAGCTTGGTATGGTGAGCGGAGCTGGCTTGAAAGAAAAGAGTGTTGGTGTCTGAGGGCAGTATTAATTCCTGGATATTGAACATTATAGGGCTGTGATGATGGGTCTTCTTTTGTTTTTTTATTTGTGGTTGTCAGATTTGAGTTGTTTGATTGTGATACTGTGTAAATATTGAGTTTTTATTGCATTATGGCTTTAGTGATCTCCCTTTTCTCTATCTGTCTCTCTAACAGATTCTTTCTTTTTCTCTCTTTATCACTCTCGTCCTGTCTGTCTTTCATGAAGACATGCACATGTACATGCTATCTCTCTCACTGTCTCTCTCTCTCTCTCTCTCTCTCTCTCTCTCTCTCTCTCTCTCTCTCTCTTTCTCATTCTCTCGCTCATACATGCCTGTGCACACACTCTCTCTTTCTTGCTTACATACACACCCACACTCTCAGATACATACACTCTCATACACACACAAACTCACACACACACACACACACTCACAATTCGTCTCTGAAACTGTCACACACACACACGCACATGCACACACACAGCTGCACACACACTCACACATACTCTCACACACACCTTGTATTTACACTCTTTAATTATGAGGTTTATTCAGGAACAAAAGCATCAATATGCAAAAACTTCTTGTCAGTCTCACACCCCCAACCACCCACTGGCAGGGACAGTGAAGATGCTGAGCTTGTTTAGTTCGGACAGGATCCCTGTGTCCGCTTCAATTGATGTTTTTTTTGGTGACCTACTAGTAGTTTTCTTTCTTAAACCTCAGAACTGTTTTCTCTCTCTAAAAATTTTGAGTTATGTTGCTGTGGTTGAAGAATCTCTTGAGTTTGTTTTTCTATTTCCAGACTACATTCTGACCCAAATTTTATGAGTTTGTGTATATTAATTTGCTTGTCGTTTGATGTTAATAAAGTTTAAAAAATTTATCATGGGATTATGCTCGTGGTTGGCACTCCAGGTTGTCATGACTGAAAACTAAAAATGCCTTGTGATTTTTATTTTGTTTGATTTTTAAAGCTAAAACAAGATTCCCCATGAATTTATGCTTGTACAGCTGAAGAGAATGTGATAGATACAGCTGAAAATTCGCAAGCTGCTCTGGTTTTGTTCTGTTTTTATCCCTTCTTAATTTATTCAACATATGGCCTGTATATTTTACAAATTATTTATTTATTGTGAACTCATCTGTCTTTGTGTGTAACAAGCTGCTCACTGTAGTAGTGCTGTACTGCCTGTCACACTTCTTTGTCAAGTCATTCACACTGTGTGTTTCCTATTGCATTTTGGTTCATCTAAATGCAAACATGTAGATTGTTGGTGAGCATAGTTTTACTATATCTTGTAGTTGCTTTGATGCTTCTCTTTGCTAAGTATCTTAGGTAGCGTATAAAGGAAAGCTAGATACTCCTGCCTGCAGTAATGGAAATGAAAAGTTTGTCGAGGTTGTTTTTTTTGTTTCAGAGTTGATGTGAGTATTTTCAAAGTTGATGTGAGTATAGAATGGAAGGACACATTTAGCACATTTTTGTGTGCTCTTTTGTGAGGGCTTCCCCAGTGTCTGTTCTCTGGTGGGAAACTAACTCGTCTTGGACCGTACACTGTTGACTCTGAACTTGCAGTTTTCATTGTGCTACATATTTTTGTCTGCCTGGTGCAAAAACTGTAATTGAAAGTGATTTGGGATTCAGTACCAGTATCAGAAACCATTTTTGGTATATGTCTAAAAAAAAGTTTTGTAATATAGACCACATTGAAGACAAATTATAGGTAATCAATAAGAATTTCCAAGTCTGAGATTAGGGGTAAACTACCCTACTTTAGATGTATATTAAGGATGCATCACGACTGGAGGGCTACTTTCATGAGTCTGTCACATTGTCAGGGCACCTCTATGTAAACTTAGGCTGTCTGTGCTTATTGTCCTTTAGAAGTATTACAGATAGCGAGAGGTAAATGCCACAATGTGCTTTGGTACAATATAATTCTTTTGCGCTTTCAGTTCAGGTGAGAGTGGTGCCTTTTTAGTTACAGCTGTTTAAACTTTGGACTTTTTGTACATGTTTTTCCTCTTTCCATATGAATCCCTGGCTATTACTATTCAATGGTCTAGCTTCCAAATCTCACCACCCTCTTCCAGCAAGCTTGTGCAGTAAAACCTGGAGTCAGCATTAGCCTTGGCTTGTTTGTGAAGTGCGCTCAGTAAGGTTAAGGACATCTCAAAAGTGCAGTACAATTTTGATTAAATGTTCCTTTTAAAGTAGACTCTGGGCTCTAGAATACGTGAATGATCCCATCATACTTTATGATGGGAGGTTTTTCTTTGAGTTTGACTTTGAAGTTATTGTAATAAAATTTTAACAGCAAAACACACAGTCTGGCGGACTTTATCAAAAATAAATGGCCTAGGTTTGTTCCATCTTGGGGTATCCGTGACTGCTGTGGGTTTTATTTCACTTTTTTTTTCAAGTATTAAGATCTGCATTTAAATTAAGGATGTTATGGAAGCTAAAGGCCAGCTAGTGTGTATGGCGATTTGCTGGACTGGTCTCTGTGTTGCCTGTGTTGTCTGCTTCTTGTTGTGTCAGGGAGCAGGTAGCAGCCTCCGGGAGTAACTAAAATGTGATAATAACTTATATTG